GATCGGAAGGACTGACACTGCTGCCGGACCAGGCGGACAGACCGACCGCCGGACCAGGCGGACCGACCGACCGCCGGACCGCAACCCTTGGTTCCTCCTGGTAGCCGGACCAGGCGGACCGACCGACCGCCCGGGACCGCACCCTTGATTCCTCCAGGTAGTCGGACCAGGCGGACGGTCGGTCCGGGAAGTTTTTCCAGATTCAACCTACCAGTATCGGTACGTACCGCGCTACTGCGGGTCCCGGCGGGTGGCCCACCCCGCCGGGCCGGACCAGCCGGACCGACCGACCGCTAGACCGCTAACTTCAAACCACAGGGTTCATGGTCTCTTAACCCTAAGTCGTCCCGCCACTGAGGACCTACCCAAACCCACCCTAACCACCAAGCTTTCCCCACCAAGTCACTGGGACGTTGACAACAAACTAAAAACTTAAGGGAAGGTGACGACACCCTAAACCTAAGTCACTGTCCCGCCATGGCTCACCCCGACCCCCACCCTAACCTCCCACCAACCCCACCATAGTCACAGTCCGGCGGTCGGTCAGTCTGCCGATCGTACGTTCCGTTTCCACTGCCAAACTTTATTTATGCAATTAATAAATGCTAAAATACTCCAGAAATTGATTGGATTTCCGTTGTTCCGCTGCCGACAAGGACACCGGATTCCGACTTAAAATCTCCCCCAGGTGGTCAAGATTAGTCGGACCAGGCGGACCGACCGACTGCCGGACCGCGATTGGCTCGGTCCGCCGGTCGGTCGGTCCGGGAAGTTTTTCCAGATTCAACGTACCAGTATCGGTACGTACCGCGCTACTGCGGGTCCCGGCGGGTGGCCCACCCCGGCCGGACCAGCCGGACCGACCGACCGCTAGACCGCTTACTTCAAACCATAGGGTTCATGGTCTCTTAACCCTAAGTCGTCCCGCCAGGACCTACCCAAACCCACCCTAACCACCAAGCTTTCCCCACCAAGTCACAGGGACGTTGACAACAAACTAAAAACCTAAGGGAAGGTGACGACACCCTAACCCTAAGTTGTCCCGCCATGGCTCACCCCGACCCCCACCCTAACCCCCCACCAACCCCACCATAGTCACAGTCCGGCGGTCGGTCAGTCTGCCGATCGTACGTTCCGTTTCCACTGCCAAACTTTATTTATGCAATTAATAAATGCTAAAATACTCCAGAAATTGATTGGATTTCCGTTGTTCCGCTGCCGACATGGACACCAGATTCCGACTTAAAATCTCCCCTGTGGTCAAGATTAGCGGGCCCCTAGTTGCATCAGCAGATTGGCGACCAAATCTCTACGGGGTTACTCTGTCGTATGACGCGTGCGGCAGGTGGTCCTTTAGTGAACTGCACTGCTTTGCAGGGGCAGTCAACCAATTTGAAACGGAAACGTTGATTGCCATTATGACGAAGTTCAGATAGCAAGTCACTAGCTGGTGCCTTGTGCAGAAACGTCCAGCCAACACCGATTCACCGGCTTGCTTCTTAGAAATAGCGCGGAAGAGCCATGGCCATCAACTATACAATGTTGATTTCATGGGGAGCGGGTGGTTCCGCACTGAGCGGCGGCCGATTGGTGGAGGGGCACGTGGATCTTGTAAGTGATCTGTTCAAGACAATATACGGACCGGGGCTTCTCTTTGGGTGATCCTCAAATGATGCAAACCCGGCGGAGGCTTGCGACAGCTGTCGAGCAGCGGCAAAGCGGTCAGAATGGGCCGAGTACACAGGAGTGTACTTGTGCTGTTCTTGCTGTTTGTTTGCTGGAAAGCTGACCACCCGGAAGGGAGTCAAGTATGTCACAATGGATCCATGCTTTGAGCAAGTGGTGTGAATATGGGCCCGAGGTGGTGGTACACCGCAACGCTGCGCCCGAGCAAGCAATGTGTGCATTCAAGAGCACGCATTCAGGGTTGTGAAAGTTGCGAAGGGCAAGGTGTGTCCGGTCCTCCTGAGGGGGTTTCCAAGCCCTGTACGATTGACATCAGATGTACTATGTGAGCGTGGGTGATAAACTGCACATAAACTGCACTGTGGCAGCATGGCGCCCTTGAGTCGTTGCCATATTTTGGATACCCATAAGCATGATTGGAATCGAAACAACTACGTAGGAAGACTTCAAGTTCGAAAAGCTGCGATTATATGCCAAGCAGAGCGTGCTAAGCCACGCCCTGCGCACACTGTATATATGTGTAGAGGCGCCAATTTGCCATGGCTGCCAATTTGCACATATGTTCTGAAACGTAGTAGCCAGATTGAGGTTTTAGAGAGCTGTAGATAAAATGGTTCGCTGCCAATTGATGAGATTCTTATCATGTAACTACCAAAAACTGAATTGGAAGCTTGTATAGAAAACGAACTTGGACACGGTGAGAACTGTCATTTATGACATTGACGGGACACGTGGATCGCGATGGACCGCCGGGCCTGCTCAGATCGATGTACAATTTCGATACTAAAATCGTATTTGTCTATCAAAGCTTGATTGGATTCAGGAGAAAGAAGCTTCCTTGAGCAACCGTCTCTCTGGACATTGTTGAGCAACACCACGCTATACTAATAGGTTCAATCTTGAGACATGCCCACATTTTGCACACGTTAGTAGAATGATTCGGGGTACGTACATACCGTACCAGCGTTTAATTTCGTCAGGTTCGACGCCAGATAATTAATTATGAAACGTTCCAAGAGTTCGGCAGACCCAACGTTACCTGCTAAAACATACCATTATCGATCCATTACCGCCTGAAATATATTTCTGAAATTTTCGTCAGGCCAAATAATTATTTATTTGTTGACGAAATTATACGCTGGTACGGTATGAGAAATAAGCAGTATAGAAGCAGTACCACATGTTCAAGTTGCCTGTATATCAATACTTGGCCGACTCTCGGCAACAGCTAGCTGCAGTCGGACATACCAACTTGCCACTAACATTCTATGTGCTAGTGCAGCTCTTACCGTTATACGGTCCCTATATCTACTCATGCTCTTGATTGATTTTGATCATTCCGAGCGGCCCAAGCCTCTACTGACGACTCGCCTATGCCAGCTTCTCCCTACCCGCTCCGCCACTAAAATCTCCAGGCTAGTTAGTCCCTATACCCGAGCTAAAGTAATTAGCCTGATCGAGTTGCCTACAAGATTAGAGTGTTGGTACGGTGTATCTGAGAACCACTGTAGATCATTGCGTATAGTCTAACCAGTAGTTTGACATCTGAGCAGACGCAAGAAGACTAACGCTCAAACATGTGTGCCATGCATGTGTGCCATGATCGACGCCTATGGCCTATTGGCTACGGCGAGTACGAAAAGTGACATCATGTGTTCGATCAATTATCGTCCGCGAGGTCGCTGCATGTGAGCGGCCAATGCCAGTACTTATCAAGACCAGAATTATGCGCGCGGGCAAGGTTCCGCACTTCTTCTGAATCACGTTGCTTACTTCTGAACATACATTCGAAATGAATACCATTCGCTGTGCGGGCTCGACCCCGCACTTCAAACACGTGCTCAACCGCCGTTTACCTGGTCCTGTGGGGCCGGGCTGCACATATGTGCGTACTATTGGTAGAGATTGAACCCTGTAGGGCCAGCTCGACAGGCCTGCCACAAGGGAACGCCGACTTGACCGGCACCTGCTAGATGGAGCTAAAATACCCGATGCGTAACCTTTCGGACTCCGGTTGACTCGGTCTTCCCTGTTCATTCAATTGCTTAACATACATACGGTACCAAAGCTTGTCTCGTATAGTGTGGTCTGTTATCGTGTCTAAGAGTACGCCCTTTCTTAGGACAACTCTTCCATCAGCAGAGCCCTTGTTCAGCCGATCCGCTGCGCTTATACGCTTGTTATATTGTACAATGCCCCGTGCAAACCCCGTGCCTGGCTGCACCACCACGTTGTTTGCAAGGACACTCAGAAAAGCACTGGCTTGTTCTCTGGAATTGAATCATCGCAGCCCAGCTTTGCAATTATCGTTTTAAAGCTGCCGTGCTTTTTGAGGGTCCCCAGGAACTGGTCGTACCCTTGCTGGAACTCCTGTTCGGTAATCTGACCATTGTGATCCGTGTCCTGCATTTGAACAGCAAGGGAAAGCGGATCAAAGAGGGCGACAACAAGCGGCTCTACAGCGCCCATAACGCAACTAGGAACAAGTTGCTCAGAGAGGAAGCAGAGAGATCTGACCGTCTAATTCGAAAGGGCTTTTACGACCGATCGTGGCCGGGCAGGATAGTAACCAGATCTCGTCTCCCGTCCTTGAACACCCACTGCACGAGCACCACCGTTCGCGTGTCTCAGGCTCGTCTAAGGTGGAGTTGCGCATGGGGATGGGGACTTCAAGAAGAAAGAAGGGACTGAACGGAACCAAGAGCTTAGCCAAGAGATCGACACTTCAAAGACAGGAGAAAAGGTGGCAAAAGGCCTTGACGACTTTGGTCGGCGCGCACCAGTGTGAAGAAGCTTTTGATGACGTCGACGTTCTTCTGCTCGTTTTGTAGGACAAAAAGAAGATCCAACAAGCCAGAAGGTCGGCACTTCCAGAAAGACAGAACGCACCGGCTTGAAGAGAATCTCGACAACGTCGGAGATGGACACGTCGATACTTTTCGGCATGAGCAGTTCTTGAGCTGCGCTGATAAGACTCTCCTGATTTTCAAGAGGTAAACAAGATCCGGCAAGCCAGAAGACGACGCTTCCAGAACGAACGAGCGCACCCGGTCGAAGAACACTTCAGAGACGTAGAAAACGGAGACGTCGATGCTCTTCTGCTCGAGCATTCTTTTCTTCTTCGAAGTTCTCGCAACTCTTTTTGATTGCAAAGAGTTGAAGGATTTCGACAAGCCAGAGAGACAACACTTTCAGCGATGAAGAGCGCACCAGCTTCGCACCAGCTTTGAAAGGATCTCAATACCGCCGGAGACGGAATCGCCATGCCCTCCTGGTTGAATAACATTTAGTCTGCGTTCTCGAAACACTGCTTGTCTTCAAGAGGTAAAGAGAACATCCAAGAGCCAGAAAGACGACGCACCCAGAAAGAAGGAGCACACCAGCTTGAAGGAGGTGCCAATACCGTAAGGACATGGAGCGTTCAATGCCCTTCTGCTTGAGCCAGCTTCAGTTCTTCGCCTTCAGAGCACTTACTTGACTTCAGGAGGAAAAGAAGACCCGACAAGCCAGACAGACAACACGTCCAGAACAAATACACGTGATATGTTCACAGTCAAAATCAGGATGTTACATGCGCAGACCTTGTTCTGAAACCTCAAGTCAGTCCGTGTTTTCGAGAGTTGAAGAACATCCAGAGCCAGACAGACAACTCTTCCAAAAGAAACGAGCGTACCAGCTTGAAAAAGATTTCCACGACGTCGGAAATGGAGACGTCGATGCTCTTCTGCTTGAGCATTTCTTTTGACTGCGCTGATAAGACTCTGCTTACTTTCAATAAAAGAAGATGTGAAAATGCAGAAAGACGACGCTTCCAGTAGTAAACAGTTGCTCACCAGCTTGAAGAAGATCTCGACGACGTCGGAAATGGAGACGTCGATGCTCTTCTACTTGTGCAATCCTGGTCTGCGTTCTCAAAACAAGCGGTGTCTTCAAGAATTGAAGAACATTCAGAGCCAAACAGACAACACTTCCAGAACGAACGAGCTTACCAGCTTGAAGAAGATCTCCACGACGTCGGAGATGGAGACGTCGATGTTCTTCTGCTTAAGCTTCTCGAACACGTCCTGCGGCGAGAGAAAGCCGCGCTGCGCGACGTCGAGCGTGCGGAAGGGGCAGAACCAGTGGGCCTTCTTGGGGAAGAGGTACACGTTCTTGCAAATCTGGTCCATCTTCGACGCGGGCGAGTCCTCCTTGCTGCGCCCCACCACCTGTAATTGCCGCGGAAGAGACACGTCATTTTGGTGAAGGATCGGAAAGTAACAAAGTCTCTATGATTCCAGATGGGCAAAAGCAGAAAATCCTCCAAGTTCCATCTTGGATGCGGGCGAGTCCTCCTTGCTGCGCCCCACCACCTGTAGTTGTCGCAAGAGAGGTTGGTACTTTAATAACTCATGGTTCGAGGGATTCCCGAGTATCAGAGGTTCAACGTTGGTCTATGGAGCACGTCCTGCAGTTGCCGGATGAAAGAAACTGTGCATCAATGTGTCACGCGTTTCATCTTTTTTGGAGCTTTGCTAGTTCAACCGGAAAGTGGTAAATGCTAAACATTCTATCACATCTAGTCTGATCAACGTGAGAGCGGGCAACTTGCAGGGGCGGCGCAAAACGGGATGCAAGCTCTTTTGATCGCACAACCCGAGAAGCCCACTGTCTACGAATCGCAAGGGCCATTCGCCGCGGGCATTGCCTGTCCACTCTGGTGCTTGCAATGCTTCCACTTTGCCGGTCTTATGTGCTCTAGCCACCCAGCTGAATCTATTTGACGAATTTGCACGCAGAGAATCAAACTTCTGTCTAAGAACGGGTTTCAGAAATCCGAATCTGCTCAGGAGTGGTTTGCAATTCCGCACTAGAGCACGACCGATAAAAAGAAGGTAATCCCGGTTTGTAAAACCACGAGCTGTATAAGAATCGCAGAAGGCAAAAATGAGCTGTCAAACGCTTCGCGAACGCAAAAACAAGCCTACGAACAATCCGTCCCCTCAATATCTTCCTTAAGCAGGACATTAGCTCGGAGGCGCTAGAAACCCTGGCATCCACGTGGCGACTCAGGAACAAAAATAAGGGGACAGAGCGCAACACCCGAGGGCCAAAGTTTCGTGGATAAAAAAGTCAAAGCCAACGATATTAACAGCCTTGAAAGCCGAAACATAAAACTCTGGATTTGAACACATACCTTTGCGGGGGACCCAACGGCCGTGGCATGTGCAGGAATGTCTGTGAGCACCAGAGCCGCGGCCCCGACTTTGGCGCCCTCGCCAATTTTGACGTTGCCCAAAATGCTCGCGCCCGCTCCTACCAGCACCTGTGAGCAGGGTTGTGACTCGTTTGTCGGTTGACATCGTTTCAAGTGCGGGGTTATAAAGCGTTTCGGGCCGGGTATTACGAATCGCTGCAGGTTCTTTCTAACGGAAGGCTTATGAATCGTTTCGGGTCGAGCGTTACGAATCGCTGCAGGTTCAGGATTATGACTGATCTCAAGTCTAAGCTTGTATCGGCCGCTTGCAGCGATGCCGAAGGAGAGGTGCGAGGTTTGAGCTTGCCGGAATCGGAGTCGAGAGCCAAATCCAGCTTCCTATCCCCGAGACGTTGGAAGGAGTGCATGCAAAGACGACGAACGGCATCACCTACGGACGGTGTCGATCGCAAGGCCGAAGCACGTGCAATTGATAGTGGACACAATGCAGAACGCCAAACAGGCGCGCCGTGGAGCTGACGGAGAACAAGACTCACGTTCTTTCCCAGCTTTGGATGCCGGTCTTCCGTCTCCTTCCCGGTGCCCCCTAGCGTAACCCCGTGCAACAACGTACACCCATCCCCGACCGCCGCCGTCTCGCCGATCACCACCCCCGTCGCATGGTCGATCAACACTCCCACACCAATCCTCGCCGCCGGGTGAATGTCCATTGCAAAGGCCTCGGAAATGCGCGCTTGGATGAGCGACGCGAGCGGCTTCTTGTTGTCGGCGGTCCAGAGCCAGTGGCTGGCGCGGTGCGCTTGGAGCCCGAGGAAGCCCTTGAAGTGGAGGAACGCGTGCGCAAAGCTGGGGCAGGCAGGGTCGCGGTCCTAGAGCGAGAATTACTGGAATGAGTAAAATCGAAACTTCTTTGGCATTCAGACTTCTCTGAACTTTTTTTTGAATCAGTGGTTTTGACCTTGCGCCGTGTAGACGCGAAAATGAACTCCTTGAAGTGGAGGAACGCGTGCGCAGAGCTGGGGCAGGCGGGGTCGCGGTCCTTGAGCCAAAAGCTGATGAAGTTGATCGATTTCAAAAAGTTTGGAATTTGGCCCGGCACCTTGCAGTCTGGGGATGCAGGTGAGGTGGAGGAACGCATGCGCAAAGCCCTGGGGCAGGCGGGGTGGCGGTCCTGGAACGTAAAATACTAAACTCAGTACTTTCAAACCTCTTCAGCATTCTAGACTTCTCTAAATACAGTGCTTCTGAAAGTAAGGATTTAGCCTGGCGCCGTGTAGATGCGAAAATGGACTCCTCGAAGTGGGGCCAAAGCTGGAGCAGGCAGGGTCGCAGTCCTGGAAGCAAGAGTCTCTGATGTCAGTGATTCTAAGAGTTCTGGAGTTTAGCCAGGCACCTTGCTGACCAGAAAAGAAGGCATGCGCAAAGCTGGGGCAGGCGGGATCGCGGTCCTGAAGCGAAAGTTGAAGATTCCAGTGGTTTTGGAAGTTAGCCCGACACCTCACAAATCCATATCAAACTCCTTGAAGTGGAAGAACGCGCGCACAGAGCTGGGGCAGGCAGGGTCCTGATCCTAAAGAAAATCTCGGGACTCGGTGGTTTTATACGTTCTGATATTCATTAGGTGGCACGTTGCAGACCCCGAGATTACTCCATAGAATGGACACAGGCGAGCTCGAAGCGGGGGAGGCACAGTCACGGTCCTGGAGCATAAGTTTCTGAGATCAGTGGATTTTTAAGGTTTAGGATTTAGCTTGGCACCGTGCAGAACCAGTGCTGAACCAAGGAACGAACTCCTTAAGGTGGAGAAAAGGCCGCCTCGAAGCTGGGGCACATAGAGACGAACCTAAAGGGGGGGGGGAAGATATTACATGAACTTTCAGCGGATAATGGTTTCATAGCTGCGCACTATCTCTATTCTTGGGGGCAGTAAGAAGCATGCCACCTCTCAACAAGAACTCTTGTGAAATGTCGGAGAAGGGCCAACGATCTATCTGCAGACTCCAATCTTCCAATGTAAGTATTGCCTTGGGCGAAGAAGGTTTGATTTCGTCTTAGCTTTGATGCTTAGCTTTGATGCTCTAAGAGTGTGAGTACTTCGACTGGAGAGCCGATTCATTTTCTAGGTTCCCCCTCAACTGGCACAGTAAACATGTCAAGAAATCTCAAAGCATGGGCTGCTGCACAAGTGAATATTGGGCGATTTTATAGGCATTCGTCAGATCTATTCCCACGCAAAGTATCCACTGCAAAACTAAACATCCAACCAAACGCACTACAAGCTCTTGCTAACTTGCGAGGGGAGGGGAGGCTCAAGCCTGAGCCTGGGTGCCCCTTCCCCAAAGACAAAGACTTTCCTGGCAAAAGGACCCAGTTGACCTCTGCAAGACGATTTCCAACCTCTCCTCCAAAGGGAAGAGTTCTCCCACCGATATTGAATATGATTGCAGCCTGGGCAATTTCCTGAATGCTCAATGTCCGCTACTTCTGGTGTGCCGTGACGTCAGGTTCCTCACCCGAATCGTCTCTAGATCCTTTTGCACCACCTCCCCCAGTGTCAGGCCGCTTGCGTGCTTCCCCTCCGCCAGCGCTCGCGTCAGCACAGGCCGCCACTTGGCCGCAGACAAAACCGCCGTGCCTAGTTTCTCCGCCAGGTGATTGGCCAGGGCTTCCTCGATGGTGGCCCACTTCACGATGGACTCGCTGACGTAGTCTGACATCAGCGCGCTCTCGGCGCTGCCGCCGCTCGTGTCAGCAATGATCTGCTGAGCTTCATTTCTGATCAGGGCCCAGAACGGGTCAACCACGTCAGAGGGAGGGCGAACGGCCTTCCGACCTGCGGGATGTGTTGAACTGTTGACTAAAGTGATTTTGTGTGCTTCTTTCTTTTCTAATGACAAGCTACAGCTTTGCAATCGGCTTTTTGCCCCATTGGTACATTTCCCACTGCTACGACCTAGATGATACTGAATAACCGATCAAAAACTGATATCCTGGGGAAAAGCAATTCAGAGAGACAGCTGATTGCTTACTCATTTCATTGATTCTTTTCATTCTTCGGACATTGAAAAAAGCATTTCGTTTCTTGTCAATTTAGAACACTTCAGAAAAGTGAACAAGGTTACACTTTCTGTCCTGGGTAAAATATAACATCGATGCCAAGAAGAGCAGTAAGGAGGCTATAAGGCTTCCACAACAGTAATCTACTACAGCCACTGAGCAATTCTCCTTTCAGAATTGTTTGCAACCCTCTGTGGTGGCCCATTCTCAATTGCTCAGAACCAGAAAAGCCTCTGAATCCTTCAAGCTCTGTTAAAAATAATGCCACACCTAATGCCAATTGTATATAGACTCTTCCGATTCAGGCACAGCAGTACTGTCTTTCTCATGAAAGGGAAGAGACAAGTTGTGAGTCACACCTTGAAGGAGCGTCATGCTGAAGTTTCCTGGCATCTGCACAAGGGGACCACTTAACCAACAAGCCAGAGCGGTTGCAACACTCGAGGCTGCGGCGGCGGCAATCAGACGGACGGCTGTTGCGTTCTCCGCACTTGACTCCATCGCCCGACCATCAGTGACAAACTGCCTTCTCTTTACGTTCCTTTGCAGAAATCTTTTCTCTACATTCTACTGCAACCAGATTGTGTTCAATTAAGGCTTTGTCTTTCCGCTCTACACTCCTACAGCGACCCAAAATGGGTGTCCTTTAAATGTGGTCGTCAGGAGTCTCGCAGAAAGGGAATTTTGGGAGGGGCCTACAACTTCAAACCTCTCCAAAGAAGCAACGCAGAAGAGAAGCGAATGTGAGATCGCCGTTCAAGGAGGCAGGTAAGATGGAGAAACCCTTGTACAATGTGCTGGTCTAGTTGGTGAACTGGTGCTGACCCATGACAACGTCGAACCCGACAGTTGCGCCAACTTACGCCGTTACAATAAGCGAGCTATCAACGTACTGTGAGTCCCAGGGCCATGAAAATGGCATGAGAATTGTTGGAGGAGGAAACGCTTTGGCCCTGGGGTTGCAACCTGAAGCCGAATTGTAAAAGTTTGTTGCCTCCCCTTCCCCTGGGCCCAGGCTGCTCTCAAGCTCAGACTCAGAGCCAGTCGGCAGGGGCATTCTGGCCTCGTCTTTGAACATCGTCGTCGAAACTATTTCAGCGTGACGAACGCTCCTGACGTATCGATTCTTGAAGAAGCTTCGATTCGTTCCTGAATCTCAGTGCTCACACACGGTGGATCCCTCGCGCCAGCTAAGCAGCAAGCTTGCGCGAACTTTGTGCTGTGCCCAGCATCGTAGCCGTCCGTCTCACCAGAGAATCCATAATATCAAGGCTCGAAAACTGAACTTAGCATCCCACATGGCGGAGGTGACTTATTCACACCATACTTTCTTAGAAACTGGCTGGCAGTCACGTCCGAGAAGGACATGCATTGCCCAAATCTCGCTTCGATCACTGAGAGGCTTCATCCGTCCATGCTCAAAGCTCCAATGCTGCGCTATTCTTGTGAGAGAACAGCACCGCGATGCGCCCCTCACATGCAGTCATGTGGCTTGCAGTGGTCTCGACATGCATAAATTGATCGGGCCGCGCTTAAGGAACTCTAGTTAACCCTAAGCCGTCAATATACCTGATAGCGAGCAACAAGCTCATGCTAGGACAACAATCAGCTAAGACTTGTGCGCCCTATCATTTTTCAGACGGGCAAACCCGAATTTCAACTTCTAACTCTTTGCTTGACTCCATTCTGGAGCTACTCAAGTGCATCGATCGTCCTCCAAAATTGTGTTTAAAGTACCATTGGGAGACGAGCCACGCACGACGCATGTTATACATCCGCACGTGTGCGGCCGCTGACTGATCAATGGTTCAGGATTGAAAGTCGGGTTTGCCCGTCTAGCTGGAATCAGAAGTACCCAAAGTAAGGCGCACCGGTCTTAGTCTTACGGGCACTCCCAGGTCACTCCCTCCAAGCTTGCGACAAATGCACGTGTACTAATGCAAGCATTCAGCGAAGCACAATGAGACAGTCTTGAGGGAATGCATAATCGTGCGACGGCGGCCGCCCCCGTTGCATCCGTAGATTCCAACCGATGGCCATAATCCCTATTCGCGAGCACATGGGAGATGGATGTGACGGATGCGAAATGGAATCGTGAAGGAAAACTTGGTTGAGATCTAAATATTGCTGTCGAGAAAGGACACAATAGCCGACACTAACCGCCGGGTATCAGCCAACGCCGCAGTCTGCACCGTCTGCCTAACCGCATCGAGAGGAGTGTACACATTTCCGATCTCCCACTTCACTTCCTGCAAAGTGAGTGTCACGACAAACCCGTTACTTAATCACTACGGAACGCGTTCATACGGCCAGAGACGAGCGGCGGGCCAAAGTCAGAGACGTCTCTGTGATCAGTACAAGTAGCCTCCTCGACTTGCAAACCGAATTAACTTGTGACGGGCCGGAAACGCTCTGACCGTACCACACAACGAGGCAACCCAAAGTTTGACAGCATACAGTAGCAAAAGATGTTTGCAAGAGGTGGGCGTTGTGCTGAGCGGTACGGAGCCCTGACGCACCAAAGTCAGCTACAACTGCTGGATAGTAGACAACAACTCACAAACGGGCCTGACTCCAAAACTCATTCGGTTCCAAAATAACATCTTTTGAAGCCGCATTTTGGTACCGCTATCGCAGCCCCCACCAAAGTCGGGCTTCAAGGACCACTTGCAAAATCTTGAAAGTGAACAGGCATGCGAGATTCTGACGAAGATACTGGTCGTCGAGGCCGATTTGGCAAACCTCCCCTGACATGGCCCTCTGTTCTTTCAGAAGCGGCAGAAACACGAGCCAAGAAGAAGGAAAACGAGCAAATAAAACCCAGAACAGAACGCATGCTTGAAGCAAGCGGGAGAGAATGCCCAGTTTCTCAGAGGAGACTAGATCTGCGGTCGAAGAGTCGGGTGAGTCCAGAACCGGTGACAGGTTGCACCTCGTTGCTCAACACTAAGAAGAGCGGATTAGGGCAAAGCCTCGTCCGGAAAACGGCGCTTACTTGGATCAGGGGGGTCACGTGGTTCCCCGTCAAGTCCTGGATCCGCAGAGCGCCCCCCCGGCTTTGGACCCCCGTCCGAATCGCGGCGGCCAGGGTCTCGGTCTCGTCTATCCCATCGTCCGTAAACTTTATCTGCACTTCGCAAAAAGCAGGCAGTCGGAAAGACCGCCCTGAGGACAACAATTCAAGAGCTCGGCGGACACCTCTGATTTATCAAGCGCGGAAAAGAGTCAAGTCTCGAGATCAATCAGTCGACGAGTAAGACCAGCAATGACATGGCACAGAGTGCTCCATCCAACGTTGTTCTCGAGGCCCTGTTCCAAAGACGAAAGATGGCCATGCGCAGTGCTGAGACTCGACACCCTCTCTAAGAGCGCCAATTCAAAGACCAACAACGCCCTCCGCCAGCACAGCACCAAATGGAAAATCACTAGCAGCCGAGACGGCAATTAATCACTGCCGCTTTCAGTTCCGTGCGAAAGCGGCTTACGAGTGCCCGGAAAAGCACATATGTGCAGCACCACTGCATACCTGATTCTCAGGCTTACATTCAGAGTGGACGGCACAGACTAACCGCTCGCCATGACCCCGCGAACCTCTGGCGGCCTCAGACAGATTGCGAGCAGCCGCCCGTAGTTGTCCACTTATTTACATACATTACCAGCTCAAATAACCTAGCTTAGCCCAACTTAAAAAGGCCCACAACCCGCATGATCCACTCACCAGCAGGGTAGACGGCACATAGTAACCACCCGCCGCAATCGCCCGCGTCTCGTTCGGCGTCGGCCGAAATTCCGAGACCCCGTCGGTAATCTGCCCAATCACGGGCGCGATCTGCTGCGCGATTTCGAGGAGTGGACCGAGGTTCTCCCGAGGGAGCCCCGGAATTGGGAGGTCGGTCGAGGCCGCAAACCGGGTGGCTTCAGAGGCGAAAGCCTCTGCGAGGCCCTGGAAGGGGGATCCCCGGAGGACCGGCGCCAACTGGGCGACGGCGGGACCGACCTGGGGGGTTTCGGGGTTTAGAGTTTAGGTGAGAACTTATGGTTCGTCAAAAATCGTCGTAATACACATCAATTTGCGGACTGAATAATCTCGTTATGCACATGTTGTGAGCGACGCACAGCTTTGCAGTCTTGGCACCCAGATGGGAGTGAGATGGTTCCGTTTGTCCGAAACTGACCATACAAAGGGACGGACAGATCACTACAGAAACATGAAACCGTTCGCTCAAGAAGTGAGAATACGACGACAATCAGTTGCTAGAGAGAAGCGAGGAAAAGACAACACTTGATTGCGTTGGTACAAGGTCCGATGTCGTCCAGGAAGGACGGATTAACAAGCGTCCACAAAAAGGAGGCAAGAAATTCCCCGCGTTGACTGTGCGACTTCATACCGCTCTACTTTTCGTTTAATCCAGTGGGTAACACAAACTCAGGTAGAGTAACTCATGACATATTCATGTTCCAATCTGGCCATGGCAAATGTCGTGAACTCATCTCCCTACCTGGTCGAAGTAGGGCACAGCCTCGCTCGCGGGCTTGTTGTTGAATGACATGATGACGTTTGCTTTTGGACGGACCCCTTCCGCATATAAACTGTTGGTCAGCATGTGGAGCAGAGCTCCATTGCTGCAGGAGATGAGCTTCAGCTTCAGGCCTCAAATGAAACGTACGGAAGGGGTCAAAAGAAGAATCCAATGATAAGGTATGACCATGATGGGTAAAGTTCTCAGACAGGTCCTGCACGTCCATGGTTAACTTCAACTATGACAATGGACACGATGAAGAGAATTCGTATCAAGTCACGGTTATCAATCTGAAACCGTGGTTGAAAAATCACCACCGCAATGTTGCTCAGTCTTAGTAACCAACAAATGAAACTTGAAACCAAGAAGCAAAAAGGAAACCACGAAGTATGAATGGAAAAGTGAACGTACCTGTGGCCCATGCCAAACAACGGCAGTTCCTTCAACTCTGACCCCGTCGACCCCGGTACTCCCGCAAGTCCCAGGCCCCCTTGCACGTACAACGTCTCCAGACAATTCTGGAACTTGCGCTCTACAATCTCGGCTGCCTGCTTATGGTCAAAGGTTAGCTGGTAGGGCACCGCGACTACCAGATAACCCGCAGCTGCCAGCTGGGTTAGCAGAAACCTGCAAGAAAACCGGGCTTGATTGAAACGGGATATCCTGTAGTCAGGACATGTGGGGCAGTTGATAACTATTTTTCTGAAGATACCTCATCCAAGGGGGCTTGGCCAATCTCCAAAAGCACGTTCTTCACGGTAGAGCATGTGAACGGAGACTAGCCATGCCAGATGAACGGTGCCAGCTCCTAGCAGAACATAAAGGCCAACAGAGAAAAGCAAAGACCACTGAAGTCAGCTCCAACCACCCACAATGTAACTTGACAAGATCCAGGCTGATTAAACATGGAAGTGACACGCTTGGCAAAAGTGGAGCAGATTCCAGCATCACGACTTACGAGTAAACTGAAAGCAACGCTAATCAGTAACCTGACCTGTATGTGAAATCTGGCACCGCGCCGACGAATGCCCCGCCAAAGAATGCAATGATGCCACGGGGTTTGGGGTTCTGGGTTCTGGGGTTGGCCGCCGTGGGAGAAAGGACGAGGCACTCGCTGATGCGCACAAAGGGCTCGGGGCTGTAATTGCGGAGAGAGATTGTGGGGAGGGTGGTAGAAGCTGAGGCGGAGATCTTGGAGTGGTGTGAATACCCTCTTGACGGGGAATGATTTCGACGAAGCGGCTGATTTGTATCAATGCTGCTGCAGGCGTTTTGTCTTGTTGAGATTATTTTTTCGCCAAGGAAGCTGGTGTGTAAAAGAGTGTTCGAATTGCTTGATCTACATGGCAGCTTTTGGAACACCCCTTCCTGTCTGGACGGAACAGTTGTTCCAGAAAGTCTAGAAGAGAGAACGGGACAACTGCAGCTTCTCGTCGCCGCCACCATCGAGCAGCTCGCCTCCGCGTGCGACCTTGTCCTCAGCTGGAGCAATGCTGAGGAGTGCGCAGATGCACTTGAGGACCACTGCGAGAGAGCCATATTCTGAGAATCACCCGTCTCAGCCCCCCGAAAACTTGCAAGACCTCAGCTGAAGATGCGGCTCTTCCCCAGCGGCAGAAGGCACAGGGAAATTTGAAGTGGAGCAGGGAGAGACTCTGACAATTCCAAGAGAACTGCGAAGTTGGGAGTCTTGGGACTAGGAAATTGCACAAATCAATTTGAGATAATCCAAGAAGCGTGGTTCGTCACCGCGGACTGGTTGGCATGCCAACTGCCGTAGATCTGCAAAATCGACGGCGTATGATAGTCCTAAGTGTGATAAGCGCCACTTTCCCATGCAGAGTTTTAATTCGATTTTCTGCCACAGTCTACTGCCCTTCTGCATATGAGGCTTCTCTTCCGCCAACTCAAGAGCTCTGCTGTTGCCACTGGTGGTGGAACTTTATATTGACGAGCTCTTTCAACCCTTCTCACGCATCGCACATCAGAATCCTATGAAGTCTGTAGTTTGTGGGGCTTCTTATAGTCCTTGAGTGGCTGGAAACAATGGCGGAAAAGCTTCTGATTTTGTACGCTTCACAGACGGGGAATGCGCAGGTGAGTGAAAGCACTCTGCTCTTTTCCTTCATCTTGAACCATCTTCAGATCATCAGTCCGCGGAGGTACAAGGATTTCAGAACGTGGTCCGGTTACCATGTGGAAATTAGCTCCTAGTGGTGGTCATAAGTTGGATGAAGGTTTGACACCACGCTTGGATCGTTTTGAGTCTGATCCTGTTGCCCCTTGTGTAGAACCATTGGGCTCAGAAAGTCAAGCTGAATCGACGTGGTGGCAGTAATTTGAATTGTTGGTCAAGCTTCAGGCCTGTTTGCGATTTTAATTGGGCTTACTATGTAAGGTGACATGTGCTAAGTCGTCACTGCATTGATCTACTAGAAGCTCAGCCTTGCGCACCACCGTGAAATTCTTCCGCCTCCTCTTTCTGAGTGCCTGCTATTCCACCATGGGTTTTCATTGTTTTGCATAGAGCCGTGTTCTTCTCTTGTGTCTTCGAAGTCGTGTCAGGTCTTCAGCTCCAGCTCACGAGCCTATTTGTTGTGAGTAGTTGGTGAGAGGAGTCACTCATTCGATCATCTATTATCCAACTTCTTTCCAAGCTATTGGCTGCGGTCCGTACACTATTGCAAGTCATTTCAAAGACAAGCAGTGCTCTATGGTTAGAACCAGAGATGATACACATCTGTCACGTATGCACACGGAACTTCTTTTGTCTGCTCTAGTAGGATTGGTGACCGGCGGGAGTCTTCGCACTCTGAGTGCCATACTTGGTTCCTCAGCTAGGTACCTTTTTGCCACTGGAAGGGCCCCTGAAACTTAGGCAACTGTTCTGAGTATCTGCAAGTGTCCGGAAAACATTCGAACTTGTCAGATGTCCCAGAGCTTTCATTTGCGACCTGGGCACCTATCTTGCGATTTGTTCTGGTTACAGGATGTCGCTGAGCGCATCGCCCGAGAGGCGTCTCGCCGTCGCTATGCCCCTCTCGTGCTCTCCATGGACTGCTGCGATCCTACTCTGCTTGCGCACTCGACAACTGCAATCTTCGTCGCGGCCACGACAGGCCAGGGGGATCCCCCCGACAACATGCGCGCCTTCTGGCGGTTCCTGCTGAGGAAGAGCCTGCCGCCGGCGTGCCTGCAGCACCTGAGATATGCAGTTTTCGGGTTAGGAGATTCGGGTTACCAGAAGTACAATATTACAGCCAAAAAGCTGGACAGGAGGTTGCTGGATCTGGGGGCTCAGCCGCTCGTGCCGCGGGGCCTGGGCGACGATCAGCATCCATCCGGGTAAGTTTGTGAGCGCTTGCCAGTTTGTCATTCTTTGATATAGAACGTGACCGCATGAGACCGTATCTCAGTCTTTCAGGTACCGCAATCGGCTTCACGTATCATCAAGGGGTACTGCTACTCAGGGGCCCAGTGAAACCGTTTTCATACCTTGCCGAGGTGGTTGAGTCAAAGCTTTCAGGAGCTTGCATTGACACGCTTTTCCGGCGGTGGATTGTCTCACATTGTATGTGTTCGTGTGATATCGATTTCAGGACCTGGTCAAAATCATGTCGGAGTCCATAACGTTTCCATCATATGGATACGGGTAGTCTTGGGCCGTTTCGCTCTGGTGTTTCTGGAATGTCTTCACCTGAAAATCGGAGGAGTCTTGTTACGGTTGGAAATTCTCGACAAACACTCAACATGTGTCAAGCTCTCCCCAGCTCAAGGCGATACCCGTCTTGGTTTACCCTCAATGCAGCAAAGGTCCTCTTCAGATATGATCACGGTCAGTATGAAGGTCTGACGTCAGCCTGACGTCATGCTGCAGGTACGAGGCGGCTCTGGACCCGTGGCTGGCAAATCTGTGGTCTGCGCTCCGTCACGTCGTCCCGCTGCCGCCCGGAGCTTCCGAACCATCAGAAAGCGATGCACTGGTGCTCGATCCGCCCAAGTTCAAGGTCACCTACGTCTCTCGGCCAGCGCGCAAAGCTGGAGAGAGAATACCCCCTGAGCCTTTGTCAGAAGCGCCTTCGAATGATGCAAAGGCAGGGTTAAGTTTAAATTCGCAGAACCTGGGACAACCGCGGGTCGGCTTGCGAGAAAACGGGGAGATCGAGAACTCTGAAAGAGATGCGACGTCGATTGCTGCTGTTGGAGAAGCAATTGGAGGAGCAGTCAGGGTTCTGGGCCCAGAGAGGGACTATCAGCCATCTGCAAACGGACACTCAACAGAACGGGCAGCGGATCGGATTGGAAACGGAAACGCAACGGTCGCCACGGCGTCTGCGAGCGGAGACGAACTGGAAGAGAACCTGCATGCGATTGCAGTACTGGACGCTGCAACGAGCGCTAGTTCCGGTCAGGAAGTGAAAGCCGGTGGTGGAGCGGGTGCAAGACTGGGGTACTCCCAAGCGAACCCGTACTTAGCCACGATGGTGAGTATGGTCACTACATACCAAATGTTGGATATGTGTTCTCTATCCAGACTGTCCCAGTCCTACGTGCTTTCGCTGTTGGGTTTGCGGCTGGTCGCGCTATGAAGAAAAGAAGCATCCCAGTGCCCGCTTTGGAAAAGACGCTTCAACTTTTACGAAGGTGCCTCCGAGAAGTTGAAACAAACGACGCCAGCTTTCAAACCCGTTGCTTTCGGTCGTTCAATCACTTGCGCTCAACTGAAAGCTCGAGGCAAGGTTGTCTCTCTTCAAGAGAGGTCACGAAAAGCAGTTGGCTTCTGCATGGTAGAGTGCATTCGTACGTATCCTGGAATTGTCTGCTTCACCAGATACCTTGCACAACCACGTGCCGTCTCAGGACATGATTGACTGGAGTCCCGCTCTTTCGTTTCCTCTTTCCAGGTCGCCAACGTCAGACTGACGTCACCCGACAACGAGCAGGACGTCCGGCACATCGAGCTGGACCTCGGAGCCTCCGGCATGACCTATGCTCCAGGTGACGTCATCAACGTCATGCCCGAGAACTCACCTGACGTCGTCCGGCGGTTCTGCGAGCGCTGCGGTCTTGATGCGGATGCGGAGGTTGTAATTGAACTGCGGGAGTCAGGTGCTGTTCCGGACGCCGGACAAACGGAATCGGACGGGAGGAGAATCGGACGGAATGGCCGACAGCTTGGAACGGACGGGCGGGAAGGGGAGTTGGACGGCCAGCAGATGGGCTTGGAGGACCAGCGGCATGGTTCCGGCGGCCAGCGGAATGGTGCGGACGGCGAACGGAATGGCGCGGACGGCCAGCGGAATGGTCCGAGCAGTCAGCAGAATGTTCAGCACACAAATGGGGACGCTCAGCAAAGTGTATCGGACAATAGTTTGAATTATTCGTATGCAAACATAGGACCTAACCCGCACGCTGACCTCAAACCTAACCCAGTGGAGCTAGGAGTTGATCGGGGTGGAGTCGAGGGCGTGGAGGAGGTACAAAAAGCGGCCGGGGCTGCGAATGGTTTCGACCGGAATGGTATGGACCGGGATGGAGGGAACGGCTTTGGACCTGTCCGAATAGGGGCCCTGGTCCGAGCGGCCTTGGACGTGGCGTCGGCGTCGCCTAGACGATACTTCTTCGAGGTGAGCTCCTTTCTGCGAATACATTTTGTGACACCGTAGCCATGCTGCTGCCACGTGTTCGAAGTTGGGAGAGACCTCAAAAGGCGGAGAGATGGATCTACGGGGCAGCTCGGCGGAGAGAAAGATTCAGCGGAAGCTGCACACGTGAGGAAGATGGGGGGAAAATGTTGCAGTAAACGTACGCCCTTGGAAGTCATTATGTATTTCTTGACCGTTTTTAGAGAGCCTCTGCTGGCCCAAAAAGCACCGCTATATGTTCCAACCTGTTATTGGATAGAAGGAATACTCCTGGTTCGATTGAGAATCGGTCTGAGCTGTCTGAATTTCTCACAAGCTGTGGGTGCATCTTTTGCCGCTTCCTGCTTCAGCATATAGGACATTGTAATGGAGCATCCGCCTCTTCTGGTGTTGTCTTCAAAGCCTTATTTGCACGTTCTATGTTTAGGCTTTACAAGTCTTCTCCCATTTGTAGCAGAAGCTCTTCAGTCGTACAAGCTTTGCGTCCGCATACGATAGCCCCTGAGTTTCTCACTTCTGTTCTCAAACCTTTCATTTGTAGGCAAAGCTCTCATTCTCTTTCAAGCTTCTCGCTTCCGCATCCCCAAGTTTACAATCCCTGCAAAGGCTCCAGTTTTGCTATTTTCTTGCTATTTTCTTGCCAGGTGCTCGCGCATTTCGCTACTGCGGAGCACGAGATCGAACGGCTGCAGTACTTCGCGACCGCCGAGGGGCGGGACGACTTGTACCGGTACAACCAGCGGGAGCGCCGGACGGTGGTCGAGGTTATGGACGACTTCCCGTCCGCGAACCTGCCGCTCGAATGGATCCTGCAAGTGGTGAGAATCAGCTGGCAAGCTTTCGTTGTCCTCCGTACTTCCGTATTCCTAAGACATTCAGAGCCCTATCAAGAAGCTTGGTGGCTTATTTGTCGGTGTGAGTGCCGCTGTCTGACCTCCTGTTATTTCTTGCATCCGCAAACCTGCCGCTCGAATGGATCATGCAAAAGGTAAGGATAAGTAGGACCGGTTCGCTGACAGCTGGCAAGCTTGCTTCTCCTCGAGTTAACGTCTGTCTAACCCGTACTGGCTTTGTTTGGTGCTGAATGGACCTCTCATCTTTCAAGGCCAGCCGAATTCGGCAGAGTGCGCGTCGAAATGGATAAATGGACCTTGTCCCTATCGTTCTGGCCTAAAAACCGCTGGCAAATCATCTCCCATGCCTCAGGATGATGCAAGCAACCCTCAGAGCCTGGTCTAAGTTGGCAATACGTTCCAATTTCGTCTTTTGTGACGAACTCACCAGAACAAACCTGTCAGACTCAAGAAGTCCCCCAGGGCAAGAATTCTCCTAGTAAGCAAGCGTCGCGTTCCCATTCCTAGGAAGAAAGTCACCGTCTTCGTGTTCTTGATCTCCCGTCGTCCATAGTATTTCTAAGCCCCACCGCTCCCGCAGGTCCCTCGCCCGAGTGCCCGTGCAGTCCCCTGAGCAACTCTCCCGTAGTCACCCCTCTGATTGTTCTCACCATCTTTGCCGTTTCCACCGATCGTTCTTCGCCTCCACGCAGGTCCCCCGCCTAAAGGCACGTGCCTTTTCCATTCCCTCTTCCCTGTTGGCCCACCTTTAGACAACCTTTGCACTTCACCTTTCTGAAACCAAGTCTTTACCTTCGGTTTCTTTATTCTCGTTTTTTACCAAACAATCAGCCCGGCCTGCTCCCGCAGGTTCCCCGCCTAAAGGCACGTGCCTTCTCCATCTCTTCCTCCCTGCTAGCCCACCCCCGCCAAGCCCACGTCACCGTCGCAGTCGTCCGCTTCCAAACGCCCTACAAGCGGACACGTGTCGGCCTCTGCTCGCACTGGCTCGCCTCCCTCGAACCCCACCCCTCTCAACCAGTGCGACTGCCTGTGTGGGTCTCCAAGGGGTTCCTAAAACTGCCCCCGCCAAATGTGCCAATGGTTATGGTGGGGCCTGGGACGGGCTGCGCCCCGTTCCGGTCGTTTCTGGAAGAAAGGACGGAACTGGAGCGGAACGGAACGCCGGGCGCCCCGTGCATGTTCTTCTTCGGGTGCCGGAGGGAGAAGGGCGACTTTCTGTACAAGGACCAGGTGCGCTTCGGCGTTCCTTTCGCAGTTTTCTTTTGCGGTTTTGCTTTCGCTGGTGTTTGATGGTAAAGGTATAGGGTCAGTCGACCCGTTTTCCTTCGCAATTTCCTCACCCGGTTTCGGATTCGCTAGTGTTTGATATTCTGGGGTCAGTTTACCTGTCTTTATATTGTCGTCTTCGCTGTGGTGTTTGAAGGTATAGGTCAGTCGACCCGTCTTCCTTCGCGGTCTCTTCTCTTGGTTTCGGCGCCGTTAGTGTTTGAAGGTTTAGGGTCAGTCGGCCCATCTTCCCGTGCAATTTCTTCTCCCGGTTTCGTTTTCGCCGGTGTTCACCGGTGTCGCTCTTGCTGATTTTTAAAGGTACAGGGTCATTCGAACCCTCTCCTTGGATGGATTCGTCACAGATCGTTGCCCTTGGGAGTTTCTTCGCAGTTTCTTCTCCCCGTTTAGGTTTTGCTAGCGTTTTGAAGGTACAGGGTCACTCGACCCGTCTCCCCTTCAATGTCATTCACCATTGATCTTGGCCCCTCCACCTTCAAACGGGATTGCGCGCTTTATATTGCGACGCTCCTAGATTTTCTGGGCGACGTTGTCCGTCTCTTCTGCTTCGTACTTTCCCCGTCCTCGTCGGCGCTCCACACCCTTCCTCGAATCTTGTTCGTCATCATTTGCCTGCATTTCACCGTAGTCCTGACAACTTCCAATAGAAGATGGAACTCTGTGCCATGGAGAATCGGCCGTAGGTCGGAGGCTACCGCCCAACCAACCAAAAGCGCTTCACCTTCTGAAGGCTCCACTTAAAGGCCCATCGAAGCTTTCCGATGGGCCTTTGAATCATAGCATTTGAATCTTCCTGGTCTTTGTCGCAAAACCCCCCAGGCTGACGCGAATAGTCGGCCCGACATTCCACTCACTCACAGTTGCTGCACACCCCAAACTACGGTGATTCGTACCGCAGTCTGTCTTGTTTGAGGCGTTCCTAAGGCTGTTCAGGATTCTTGAACGGGCTTGCGTAGCTTGCGGTGGTCTCTAAAGGTTTTAGTAGGTACAGACAAGTTTCTCTCAACTGTTCAAGGGTAAGCACAGATTAGAAGTATCTAAAACATATGTTGAGTAGAAAGAATTCTTCGAAGGACCTTGCTTGCGCACCCAAAGGCTTGCTCGCGCATCAAGGCGCTTGCTCGCGCATCAAGGGGCGTGCTCACGTATTTAGGGCTTGCTCGCACATTAAGGGCTTGCTCGCGCACTAAAGCGCTTGCTCGCGCGTGCAGTGGCTTTCGTACGCGCGCGGCGAGGGCGTCCTGAGCGAGGCGCGCGGCGGGGGACTCTCGGTGGCGTTCTCCCGGGACCAGATGCTCAAAGTGTACGTCACGCACAAGATTAAGGACCAAGGCCGCAAAGTCTGGCAGCTGCTCCAGGTGCGGCAACTGCCTTCCTTTGTTTAGCATGGTTTTGGTATTCCTCTTAGCATTTTGTCCAACTTTGCTTTGACCGTTCTATAGTGCCGTGTCTCCAACCCTGAATGGACTCTTCCTCCGACCCTGAGTCTATCTTGCACAGGATTGAGGACCCAGGCCGCAGAGTCTGGCAGCTGCTCCAGGTGCGGCAACCGGCTTCCTTTTGAATCAGCATAGTTTTGTCTTGCTTTTGCTCTTTCGTTCGACTTGCTTTCCCCTTTTTCGGGTTCCGTTGTATCTTGTCGTGTCTCCTCCCTCGAACGGAGTCCTCCTTCCGAACCTAACTGAAGAGAAGTTTCGTTTACCCTCCTTGCTTTTCTTCTTTGCTTTCAGACTTGGGCTTTGTTTGGCATCGTTTAGGAAGCTGAGGAGAGAGAGACTGTATGTGTTCATGTATGCGAACAGGCCCTCACGCAGTCATGGAGGGGTCATGTGTTTTCTGTCACGCACTTCCGGTCAGGCGTCCTTTCTCATCGGTTTGTAGATTCCGGTATCTGCTTCTGGTCGCAGACGCATCTTAAACATTCGTTATTCGTGGACCAACACATGTTTCTCGTACACATTCGTTATTGCAGGCTGGCGCGTCGATCTTCGTAGCCGGCTCTGCTAACAAGATGCCCGCCGACGTGGCCACTGCTCTCGAGATCGTGGCGCAACGGGAAGGCCAGATGACGCAGCAGAAAGCTGCCGCTTGGCTCAAGGATCTCGAGAAGAACAGGCGGTACCACGTGGAAGCTTGGTCGTAAGAAGGACCAGCGAATGTCGGACACTGTGTGGTACAGTGGCTCTAGAACAGCCAAGACTCAAGGACTTCGGTCGTTATCATGAGCCGAGCCGTCGTCTTTTGCCGTCGAGTTTGCGTCTTCCCTCGGGTGGCATTTGACGGTCCTATCCTTTTGTCCTCTTGCCACACTCCTTAGCGAACACCATGAAAGAGGCGGCCGCCGGCACACAAGTTCGGTCGTCGTCAAGGGAATTCGGCCAACTATACGGCCTTAGATTTCCGCACCCTGGCTCGGTCTGTACGCGGCGCACCGAACGCGTGCCATCATCTCCTTGGAGTTGGGTCACACATGTTTCGACCAGGCACTCTATCACCATTTTTGCCTGGTTCAATGCATTTCGAAGCATGGGCAACATGTCAGGCGGTACGTACGTGCATGGTTGACCACGTAGGCGACGAGCAGCTCGTGTTCTCGCAGGCTTGAAACTTTGGAGAACGTCACACTCCACAAGGCACGAGTACGAGCACCAAGATGTACCACCGGCGACATTCCAACATCGCTGAAATTCCCTCGCCCCTCTGAATGATCTGCACGTCGATACAGTCGATATGGACTCACGCGCGGTGGACTCATCAGACCGGTATGGCGGGTTGAGAATCCAACCGTTGGTCCCATTACTACTTTATGGGCTTCTACTACATGGCCGGCATGGGACCATGTGCTGGCTATGCACTCCATAGCACCTGCATGCCGCCCTCACGTCTCGAACTTCTCCTCCTCGTTCCTCGGCACTCCAGATGTTTGCGAAGCCATAAAGCCCGCTTGCTTCGACGTACTTGCTCTTCTGCTTTTGAAGATTCAGAGAGTCTCGGTACATTGTTGTGGCCGCGAGCAGAGCAGAGCATGCGATCACCGCTCACGCGCTAGCAGCGCGGCTTTCGAGCTCAGATGCGCCGGGCGTGCGCGCACGCGGGCTGGGAGCTTTGATCCTTGACTCTCTGCAGTGTGAGTCTCTTGAGCAGGGATTCCCACAACTGGCAGCCTGGGGCGGACCTGGCTGGCCGGGACGGGACCCTGGCTGGTGCCGAAGGCACCCCGCCAGCTCGGTAGCTGGTAAAATCGACAAGTCCGTAGGGCACTCAGCTGGCCGGTAGAGCCAACCGCCTGCCCCCCAGCTGGTACAACCGGGGGACTGCCTGTGGCTGGCTGGCCGGGACGAAAGTCCATGGGAATCCCTGCTCTTGAGTACGGTCGACACGTTGACTCCACAATCGTCGCATCTCAAACCGGCCGGCTCTGGCATCATGACTTTTGGGAGCACAATTCACAGGTGTGATATGGTGTTAACTCCGTTATCTCGTAAGGGGCTTGTCTCCTAGAGTTCATAGGCCCGGGGACGGGTAGGGCACGTTTGGTGGTTAGAATGGCTAGAGGCGCGGAGCACGTAAACTTCTGGGTTAGGGCCTTTTGTTATGGTGCCCGGGGCATTGCCTTTTTTGGAGACAAGCCCCTTAGGAGACAAGTGAGTTGCCAGTACCTATGCATATGTATTATGTGTGTGATTCCGTGATTCGGAATCTGCGGCACTCAGAATTGCATCATAAGGAGCGCGAGCTTTCATACCCGAGCAGATTGGCACAATTTGGAGCAGTCCAAAGAGGCTGTTGCAGAGCATCTTGATTAGCTGCATGTCGCCCAGGGCACCATATTATTACACATAATAGGCTGCACGCTCGGTGATTGCCTGCGGTTGTAAGCTTGTATTCTTCCTGCGCAGGCTGTTCCAATAAGGTTGGAGTTTGCATGATTGAGCTCCAGCCTGTATTGTACTACCGGTATGCAGCTCCTATCCAGCTAGAGATCTGAGAGGAGAGCCATGCATGGGCCTCTATTACTATTATGGCAAATGCAGACGCTAATCAACCTGCATTCACATGATGAGTCATGACTCCAACGCCAAGAAGTCAATCACGAGAGTTTCAGAGGACACAATGGACGCGTCATGAGGACGCCAAACAATGGCGCCCAACACATTTGGGGTCTGGCGCACGTCGTGCCTGCATATTGCCGCCGTCGCGCTCGCTTTACTCCTAGGGCCTTTCCCCCGGCTTGCCAGCATAGATGTCCCGGGCCCTTGTTGTGACGTCTTCCAAGGCGCCAATCGCACCCTGGTGGACTTTCCCTGGCCGGAAGCCTGTTCTTGCCTCTCAGAAAGCATCGCATTGGACCTTTCCAATCGCAGCATTGGGGGCAGTTTGCCCCAGTCGTGGGCTTACCCGGACGCTTTCCCAGATCTCCAGCTGCTAGACCTGTCTAACAACCAGCTCAGCAGCCCCCTGCCCGGTGCCTGGGGGAACGCACTGGGCGCGTTCCGCGCCCTCCAGGTGCTAAACCTCAGTTCCAACTCTCTGAGTAGTGTCCCGGAGGAGTGGGGAAGCAGCGACGTCGGTTTCCCCAAGCTCCAGTCTTTGCTGCTCTCCTACAATGTCATCGAAACCCTTCCAGAGTCATGGGCCACATCGGGGACATTTCCAGAGCTTCTCGAGCTGGACTTTCTGGGGAACCGGATCGTGGTCCTCCCGAAAGCATGGGGGCAGACCGGTTCCTTCCCCAAGCTGCAGCTGCTGGGCCTTGAGCTGAACCTCATCGAGGAAGTCCCCAGTTCTTGGAGCAACCCCAATGCGTTCCCCACACTTCAGGTTCTCGGGCTCTTTGGGAACCAGCTGTCAACCCTGCCCGACGCATGGGCGGCTCCACTAGCTTTCCCAAGCCTCGCGTTCCTTACGGTCGGGGGGAAAATTTCCAAGGTGCCGCCTTCCTGGTCGCAGCCTGGAGCCTTTCCAAACCTGCGGTATTTGGACCTTACACTCAACCCCTTGCAAGAACCGCCACGTCTGTGGGGGGCGTGCTTTGACGATGTGGGGTGCGGGCTGAATATTGGGGGGACGCGAGCGGCCCGTAGGCTTTCCCGGGCGTACAAGAAGCAGGTTTGCCTGGGCAAAGTGGCCATGGTTGTTGGGAACAACTGGCAGCACACCCTTACGTTCCTGAACACCACGCATTTCCGGCTCGACCAGAACCCGTATATCTACTCCCTCGTTGACCCGAATCTGCTGGAGAAGCTTTTGCCGACAATGGGAACGAGCTATACCGGAGCGCGCTTCAAGCCCCCCCGCGGGGACAAGTGTCGGGACGACCAAGCCCCCATAGTTATCGCTGTTGCGTGGGCCATCTGGTTCGGGATCTTATTACTGATCATCCTCGCCGTTCACTTCTTCTACCCCGGTTATGAAGATCTTCTTGCCACGCGCTCCAGTAGAAATGTATCCCAGCCTTCGCCCACCCTAAGACCCGTACTCGTATACGTGTCTGGCGGCGCCGGGCCAGTCTTTACCCTTGTAGGGTTGGTTCTTAACCTGGTTCTCTTGGTGGCGATTGCTGGGACTTGGCCAATGTACGTCCTCCTTGGGGTTATGCTGCTCAACTATGTGATAACCGGGCTGGTTCTCGCTGTAGCTTTAGCGCATGTCGGTGTTTGCAAGCAAGCTAAGCAGGTTAAGACTAAGCTCTTGGGGGGAGTTAATTTCCACCTTAACTGGCAGCTGGCAGGGACGTCATTCGCGGACGTGCCTGCTCGAGATACAGAGCGGGAGCCTGCCTTGACTTTATTGCAATGGGTTAAGGTCCCACCGCTCCTGGTTCTCGGGGTTATATTGACCCTTTTGTTGGACCTACTCACTGCGGCCTCCCAGTTGGGTGGGCAACTCATCGTGAGCGGCAACCCCATCAACCTCAAGGATTATTACACGGGTAGGCAGTTTGTGCAAGCCATTTTTGGGACTTTACTCCAGGCGGTGTTTGGGTCACTCGTCTACTCTCAGGGCACATCGCGCATTACCCCAATTTATGTAGACAGGGTTGAGTTCCTAGCAGTCATATTTGTCCAGCTAGTCTCCCTGCTATATCAGGCTGGAGCTCTCTGCTGTGAGCTGAAGTCGCACCCGAACGCGAGCCTATGCGACCTGCTCAGGTGGAAGATATACTGTATGCGGGCGCCATTTGTGTCCTCTCCGAAAGGAGCTGGTTCAAAGGATGAAACAGTGACGTTGGAGCAGCAGGAAGGTGAGCTTTCAGTTCCAAAAGTTATTCCTTCAAGTTCCGAGCTACATTTGACTAAATGTATTCTTCATGAGTACAATTCCAGTTCTTGTGCTGTTTCAAAACATAGTAAGACCTGAGAATGAACTACTGTTTCTCTCAAACTAGCATCTTCTGGTAAGCACCACGGCCAAAAATGTTGCCTTGTTGCTTGCCGTTGGAGACCTGTGTTATCGCTGTCGAGTCTGCGCAGGGTCAGCTTTGGGGTCTATTCATGCTACAATGATTGCTGCATTGATTGATTGCTTCAGGTAATTATGCAGGTGCAATGCGAGGAGATACCTTACGAACTGATGGTCAATCGTTTGGTCAATCGTTTGTCCTGAAGTACTTCTGAATTGACATAAAAGTCCCCTGCTTTTTCAGGCTTTGCTATGGATGTGATGTTCTCTAACACGCTACTCTTCATCTCTGTTCCAGAATCTGTGAGCAAACCTCAAGGCTCTGACTTTATTCCTGATCAAGGGGCCTCTAAAAATAGAGATGTGGAGCTCGCGCTAAAGTAGGCGCTTGCAAGCGGCGATCAAAGGTGTACCACGCTCCTAGTTGCTTTTGAGCTGTCCACAGATGTTTTGATCTGGCTAGATCAACTATCATATGGAAATGTATCTAGTATGCAGGTTATGCGAGTTTTGGTTTATGCGAAACAAGGGCTTTAAGCTAGACTACCGGCGACTGGAGTGTCTATGTAGTGTAGAGCGTGCTTGCGCATGCACTTCTTGCCATAGTGCTTTTGCGACCATAGCTGACGACCTTAGATTATTGAGACGGCATGCGCCAAACTAAATTAGTCGTTTTTCCGGGGTAGGTACAATAAACAGGGGCCAAACTTCGGAAGGCTTGCTTGATTTGATTAAGGTAGTACTAGCAATCGACCTAGCTAGAACATGCATCAAGCATGCAAACATATTTGCCTAGCTGCAGTAAATGGATCGACAAGCCTGTTGGGCAGGTTGCAACCTTCTGATCGATTTTTACGTTGGATTGAAAACCATCCAAAAGTATAGTTTACCGTTCAAGTTGAAGCTTAGTTTTCTCGTGTGGAATCGCTTGACTATACTGAGCATCTGGGCCGCCGGACAGTCACATGACTCAGGACATTATGCAGAATAATGCTGTAGGCATCTTAAAGAGTCTTGTAGGTTCATGGCGCTAATCTTCTTGAGGCTTCCATTCTTCGCATGCATGCCAGTGCTAAATTGCACATTGTCATGATTAATTGGCCATGACAAGCATCTGTATTGCGCAATCATGACGGGGGCGGCCGCTTGCAACTGCATGCCGTTGTCGACTTCACAAATACTCATCGACAACATTGACAAAGGATTAAGTGCTCGGAAGCACGAAGAATACATGGTGCTCCGGAGCCCAAAGAACTTACAGCATCTGGAATCAAGCCTAAAGCTTTACTGCCTCGTCCTGCTAACTTTCTTACATATTATCGCCGCTAGGTGCATGACAAGGTTGTCCTTCGAATCAAAGGATACATGTTTAGCTAGAAGTGCTGCTACTTGATCAGCATAATTCAAATCAATGCTCTTCGAGAAACTCCGACTAAGAACGTCTTGCACGAGATTCTCCTGAACACGCTCTATAGGCAGGCCGCACACTTGCAAGCAACGTCTTCGGGAGTCACGCTGTTTGAACAGCCTGTATGATTGTGGTCGCCTCTTCGATTTAAATCAGGAAAAAGATTTAAGACGATTGAACATGCCTGCTTTTGAGAGAGAGGAAAACTCCCATATCTGGACCCAATACATGAGCCTAAGAGCCGAGCAGACTTCTATAGCGGGATCAATCAAGCCCTCCAAGCAAAAACAAGCAGCTAATGCATGAAAGTTGGGTATGCAAGCTCGAGGTAGGAACTTATAAAGTGGAGCTCACCAAAGAACATACGAGTTCAGGCCCTTGACTCGCAACTACCATCGTTTGTCGAATGGCGGACCGATGCACCCGTGATGGTCGCTGGGAGCCCGGAGGTTTCGAGTGCGACCCTGAGGGGCGAGTGAATTTTCGGTGGCCGCTGCTGGACGGCCTTGAGCTTGCAATCCTGGCTGGCTCTGTCCTGCAAACGGCGAGCAGATTGCCTTCGCAAAACGCACAGTTTTGAGATCGAGACTTAGTTCTGACCTTGCTTGTCAAAAGTTTGGTCCAGGAAAAGAAGACGTCATCAGAGCAACACTCCAGCGTAGATCAGGATGTTAGGGAGAACCGTTCCCCTTTAGACGACGTTCAACTCGGCACCAACGCTGAGATTTGCTTTACGCCCCTCTCACTGAATCCTTCAGGCAACGAAGAGCAGCGTAGTTGAGACAAACACCGCCCTATGGTGTTCAGGAAGAGACCTCTTTACAGGCACAGCAGCTGGAGTACAGAAACGTTAGGAGGCGGGTTAATGGCGGCCTATCTTATTGATTCTGCTCCTGGAACAACGGCAAGAGGCAAAAGAGGGGCGTGCTGAATGGACAAGGCGGGCTTAACCGACTGAACCAATCCTTGGGGGCAAAGACTCAGATCCCAGTTCCATGGTACACAAGCGTTTCTCCACCCGAGACTTCCACGGCCTCGTAGTCCTCAATGCAACCGTCCTTGTCTACAGTACCCAATTGCGAAGGCATCAGCCTACAAGCCACTCCTTCATTGCGGGTGAGCATGAAACACTCCAGGTGTCACAAGGCAGACTGTTGTGTCTTCGAGGAAGGAACATGACAATCTGGTATGTCAGCTCTTGACACCTACCGTGCCATCCGCTAGGCACATAGCGGTGCGTCCATCTGAACACGGGTCAGGCAGCTTGGTGACGGCGCGTGACATCCTGTGCACAATGAAGATCGACTGTTAACCACCTGGTTAGTGCTTGGTCAGGCACACTTCCCACAAAATCAACAAGCAAAAGTCAAGTGCTCTTCAATCATGTACAGTGCTTCCAGCTGGAAGACTCTGCCAGTACTTCGTAGATGTGAACCCAAAAGGGGCCAGGCACTAGAGAAAAGCAAGCCTTGGGGGATTAATGAAGCGCCTACTTGAAAGAAGTGGTGGGGTCAATCGCGATTGAACAGAATGAAACCTAAGGTTTCATCGGCTGAAGATGAGTGCGAAGCAAAATTTAGCTTCCTCTATCCAATAAATGAGATGGTATGCGTTTCGCCCCTATTTCTGCAAGTGGAGAGGGTCCAAGTCCCTTGACTTACCGAGGACGCGCTCTCGGTCGCCGTTGTAAGCGGCGGGCCCTCGTTCCTGTGCCCCTCCTCTGCACCATGAGAGGCTGCCGCTGCTGCCTGTGCGTGAGTTGCCCCCCGTTCTAAGAGCGGCTCCTGCTGTGCCGTCGTTGTTCCTCTGATATTCGCCCCAAGCAGCCGTTCCGTCCTGCCATTCCCTCGCCAGCCTGCCAGCATGGGGCTGCCGATTCCTTCAGGGCCTTGCACCAAAGAGCACCCCCACCTTGGATGCGTGCTCCGATGACGGGATCCCCCTGCAGGGCTCCCTAATAGACCCCAGCAGAATATGCACCACCGCTGTATCATAATTAAACTCCTCAGGGAGGGGGCGGGCAGATCAAGAGCCGTGCTGTACACATAACGTACTCTGAGTTTGGGGGGATCCCTTCAAACAGCGGTTTGGGGATGGCGTACAGCTAGCAGTACGTGGTGGGTAAGAGGTAGGACAGACAGGCAGAGGCAATGGAGCGCTGGTGCCAAGCCGCCTGCGTCTGCACAGCCCCATTGGTCAGCCACCCAGCCGCCCCTGCTGTTTCTGCCCTGCACCTGGCGTATGAGCTGCTCTCGCGCCTTGACCTTGAGTATGTTGTCCGCTAACAGCAGCTTTTGCCCCGTCCCGCTCCACACCGCCACGGCCCCTGCTTACCATGTCTTGCGCATCCATAACTGGCCTGACAACTGCTTCGAAAGAATGCTGAGACATTGAATGCTGATCTTCTGATCAAGTGGTTGCACATGAGCCACCGTGGACTGCAAGTGCTTGCCTTGAATCGGGACCCCCTGATTTGGTGCCGGATCGTTCTGCTCGCTTCAATGGGGCTGCCATGCGCCTGAACAAGAAGCTACTATAGGTAATAGGTGTGATTTCCTCAGCAGCTGCCCGAGATAAACTTGCACCATATACCTATGCCGGCAGCTGCGTCCTTCTTTTTGCCCCCTTAAATTAACACTCGGATGCTCCTTGCAGCGGCGCAATAAGGTCCCTGCTCTTTAACAGTGTCAAGGGAACTTCAAGCAATATACATATCTAGGAATTCCGGCTTGAGCAATTCAGGTACCTGCCTACCGTATATTGAACGCTTGGAGCTCAATGACAAAGGGAGTGCTACCTAACTTTAAGCAAGAAAGGCGCTGCGGCTTGAGCTTACGAGCGGGACCTTCAGCCTGCCTTTGTGGTGCCCAGCTCGCAAGGAGCAGGGTTGGGGACGTGGAGCTTTTGGTAGTAACAACTCAGTTTGCGTGCAAGGCGCGCGCAAAGTGTATGGTACATTGCTGACGGCTCCGTTGGAGCGATTTTAAGTTCAGGTCCACCCAGGAGCCAGGATGGAGGACATGAAAGTGGACGTGGACGAGGTATGTGCTGGCTTCGCTGATCTGAAAAGTCAAGGGCAGGGCAATTTCCACTTCAGTCCACTTCAACCCTCTGGAGGCTGCTGCAATTGCAGCCAGACACTTTCGTGGTTCTGAAGTGGCATAGAGAAAACAACTTTTGTCTGAACCATACAAATCCGATGCGCCTTCCCAGCTTTGCTGTGTCTTGCTTTCATCCCTCCTTGCACCACCATAGAGGACTTTGAGATCTACGGTTCTAGCCACAATTCAAGTTGCTCATCTGCTTGAACCTCGGCTGGTCCAACTTCATAAGACTGTTGCAAGCCACTTAAACCTGATTCTCTGGTTGGCATCACTAATCTGATATCAAGGAAGCACCCTGAGCTGCACACATCCTAGAGTTCCACTTGAGTGACCTTCCCATCGCCAAGCTGTTACACATGTCCACAATTGTCTTCAACAAAGCAACCAGCAAGCAATGAAAGCCTTGACTGAAGTGGTCTGTCATTTTTCTGGACGTAATGTTTCTGGAGGTTGTGATCGCATTGGCTGCTCAGGGGTCTGGTTAGCTTCAATCGGTGCCTTCTCTGAATTGGTCAAAGCTGTGCCCTAAGCCAACATCACGGGGGCTTCTCTGATTGGTCTTCAATGCTTGCCCCATCGGGGCCTTACTTGGATAATTGAATATCTAACATTGAGGATCTTCATAGCCTACCCCTCAGGACTACTTGACCGAAGTAAAAGAGGCAACTCTGGTTTCAAAGAAACTAGGGGCATGTATGCTGTCAAAATAGGACACTGTGGTCGCACAGTCTCTGTTCTGAGCTTCTCGGTCAGATGGGTGATTGAAAGCATGATCTGCTGCAGTCAGGTAGAAACCGGGCAAACTGGTGGAACTTCTCATTCAGACCGGTCCCTTTGACAAGCAACAAGAATCCCCTCACTTACAGATGGAATTGTCATCAATACTGAGTGAACCGGAAGCCCAGCAGAACAAGCCTTTTAATCTGGAAGATTACAGAAACCCTTGGAGGCTGGGGGTCTGCTTCAAATACAATCGATCCTGTCGTCGACGAACTCGTTCTCACTCCTTGTTTTCGGAGCTTTGCAGTCAGGTTCTTGCTCACTCTCCTCCTCCGCTTCTGTGTGCATTCAAGTGTAGCCTCGATCGCGCCTGAGAGCTAATTAACGCTGATTCTCACTCCGCAGGCTCTTCTCCGGCAGAAACAACAAGGACTGAGCCCAGGGGTTATCGTCTTGATTGTTGTGACAGCGGTGCTGCTTTTCTTCGTTGTTGGAAACTACTTCCTGTTTAGTTACTATCAGAAGATTGCTCCCCCCAGAAAAAAGAAGCCGGTGTCAAAGAAGAAATTAGTAAAGGAGAAGCGGAAGCAGGGAATAAATATGTCGGGTGAAGCTTAAGTCCCTTTGAAGCAAGAGACGTTTTGAGGAACGTGAACTGAATGAGTGTTCCGGAGTCATCTCTCGCCAGCGCTGTAGAAAGGTAGGCGGAAGAGGGAAGATTTTTGGATTGGTCTTAACCAGCGGAGAGGCGCACTAATCAAAGCTGCTAAAGCGTCCAGAAATCAACTTGCTCTAGGGGGTTTCATGCTTCCGAAGGTCCAGCTTTGACCATAGGAAAGACGGAGACGGGCGACACAATCTGACGTATTTCTAAGTAGCAACAAACTCGGAAGTTGTACAATCAGTTCTCAAATCAAGCTGTCACTCCCGAACAGTTCAACGTCGAGACCAGAGTCTGTGCAGACCTATCGGGAATTTGCAATCATATAGCATGAGCCGCACTGATGACAGAAACATGGTCATGGCATATATGAGCGTTTCCACGAGCGATATAGGGCGGGAACATGCCGAAGTCTCCGCCACTCACTGGCCTCTCATCCAGAATTGGTGGGATTGCAATATCAACTTACATGCAAGGATTCAAGATTGAAATGCAGGCGGCTCAGTAATTTATGAGCACCAACAACCAAATCGTGGTCAAAGATTGGCGCGTGTGGGGATATGAACCTGGTTACCTCTTTGCATCATGCGGTCCAGCATGTCCTAACGCTAACAGTTCAGGTCCGATTCAATGATAGGACCAACGGATGATAAATTGGCTACGTTGCATGAGAACGTCTGGCAGCTCTTCTCCATGTACGTAATCTGCGTCACAGGCACGCGTTCATATGCAGAACCGACTGAGTAGGCCGTCCCAGGCGCCATGGCTGCCAACAACTTTATTGCATGGCTGGATTTCGTTCGGTCGTTGTCCTCATTGAACTGTAACGACCTTAGCCACAGAGACTAGTCAGCGTGGTCACATCATAAGACGTTTCATCAACCCATCCTAGCCGCCTCTCCATTTTAGGAGCATCGCAAACTTTTCCTGTTGTATCCAAAGTTTCACTGTATAGTCACGTCCTTCGCTTTGTAGTCTTGTCTTGTGCTCGACGCAGCACGCGTCTAAGCGAAAGCTTTACCTGCAGTATATTTGTCACAATTGGGCTGCAAACGTTCTGAATTGTGCCCTCAGGCAGAAACTGCAAAAAGTAACACTGCAAATGGACATCGTCTCTCTGATAACTTGTGACGACCCTGACTGTGAGACACAAGATCTCCTGCAAGCCGTATTCGTTACTCGTTTGAGAGGTAGAAAGACAAGGAATAGCAAGACGGCAGTAAATGTTTCAAGTATTGCGGGCTCATTCGAGTTTTACAGCCATAGTCATTGGCTCAAGCATGCACCGGCAAGCGAGACCCCTTAAGGCTTGGACCATTTGATCGCGAAGCTCTTAACTTTTCTCGAGGGATCAGCCTGATACTCCTGCTGCGGAGCACATCCACAAAGGGTTTTTCAAAACCTCTGTATTTCAAGATCGAGCTTGCGAGGAGGTCAACGAAAGCAGAAACATGGCTGGCCAGCTGACCTACTTCTCTGATCAAGACGACTTCAAGGTTCTACTGAAAGGAGTTGGGCTGCTCACTGCAGGCATAGTGGCCATCTTTAGCCGCCAGTTTCTCAGCAGAACAAAGACAAGAAAGGGGAAGACTGAAGACATGCGCGCAACTCCTGCTACGCAATGCAGATCTCCCTCTTTGCAGAAAAGATTCGAGGAGCGGTTCGAAGGGCTTGCAAATGCACAAAAGCTGCGGTCTTGTCAAGCCAAGGTCTTTCTGATACGAGACGCACTCAGGTCTGAGGGGTTTCGTACAGATAAATGGGTGGACTCTTCTGTCTTTTCAGCAGGGGGCGAAAACCTTGTCGAGAGGCTTGAGGAGGAGCATGGAGTCTCCATTGTTGTGCAGCCCCCTGCTTGTGGGGCGAAGGAGAGCAAAGTGACGATCTTGGGAAACACTCAAGAGGTCCATAACAAGATCATCCGTCAATTCGCTCGAGAAGAGCTGGAGCGCAGACTCGAGGCTTCGTCGGAGGATCTCGCCGTCCTTGAGGATCAAAGTAAAAGCGAACAGAAACAAAGAGATGCTAGTAATTTCTGCTTCCCATCGACCTGGGGAAGGAGAATTGGTGGAGATGGAGCAGGACTGAAGCTCGTCGCACTCCCGGCTGAAGGCTCAGAGGAATGGTTCTTCTACCTCGACGAGTTTCACAAGACGAGCGATAGTAAGGCGTTCACATTGATTGGCGTTCAGCGAGTGGAGAATGAGTGGCTGTGGCGTCATCACTCGCTGCACAAGGCGACAATCAAGAACGAGAAGTGGCTCTTTCATGGAACGCCGAAGGAGCACGCGAAGGCAATTTGTGCTAACGGGTTCAACCGCTCCTATGCTGGTAAGCCTTGATTACATATAGCCAGACATGTCAGAATGTACTGTGGTGCTGAATTGTTCTCTGATGATTGTCATGTGCACGAGTCCCCTGTCAGTTTGCTCCTACTTTCTTACAACGTTTCGAGAATGATTCAAAAAAGGATGTTTCATGTACGAGAAGTCCGTCAAAATTTCTCGTCTGCGAGGATTGCTGGTGTTATTATTCACGCCATAAAATGGCACAGCAGTTTTCAGAATTTAAACGACGGGCTGCCAGAGCAGACTACATCACTTCAGATGATCCTCAGAAGCGATCAGTAGTTCCAAGACTCCCCGAGATGATCAGAAACCGCACAGCTCTGTATGAAAAGCTCTTCAAGAATTTGAAAAAGGGATCCATTTCAAACGGTTATCATCGTTTCGATACCTCAGTAAGCAATATGCGGCTGACGCTCCTCCGTCTCCCGCTTCAGGAAAGAATGCGGCTGCTTACGGCGACGGCACATATTTTGCGCGAGACTCTTCCTTCGCGGTGCCCTTCTCGTGCTTCCCGAAAATATTGAAGGCTAACGAAACATACTGCATGTTTCTGGCCCAAGTCCTAGTTGGAGAATTCACAGGGGGCTATTTTGGCATGAAAGAGCCCCCCCGAAAGGGCGAAAGGCCGTTAGAGGAAACGACGATGGCCGCGGCCGCGTCGCGGTACGACTCTGTCGTGGATGAACCGGTGAATCCGAGCATCTTTGTGGTGTTCAAGGATTTCCAGGCGTATCCTACTTACCTCATCACATTTAAGGTGCGGTCGCCTGATGTCCTGAGTTGAGGCCAGTACTTTCGATTTCGTTTCTTTCTGGGGTCACAATAGAGCTTAGTACATGCTATTCCGTGCTCTTGCTCCAACGTAGTTCACTTTTGTGCCTTGAAATCGCTGGAGACACCTTGAGGAAAGTGAGCCCCAATGACTCGTGTCACTAGACTTATGAAAGTGAAAGGCAGCGTCTCATGCTTGTATCTTGTTGTGGTCGAGTGACGTTCCGTTAACAAGGACTGGTTGCATTCAGGTTGCATTCGGCCAGATCGACAAACAGCTCATACTGATTGGGCTCAAGAGCTCTGATGCATGTTTGCCCTTGCCACTCCAAGTCAAATTTTCCGCTTCATTTTAGCTCAGCATAACCCCATCGTGTCAAGACGAGTCGATGGGTACGACTTCTGCAGAACGGTTTTTACATGGTCAGCGCATGTGCGTTAACGATGTCAATCGATGTACAACCGTGCATGCGTATAATTGTTTCCAAACGGACTCGTTTGCCAGCCGTCCTGTGCAAATGACAAGCTTTTGATAGGATGGGGACTTAGGCTCAACGCACTGCAGTCGGAAGGTCAGTTGTAGTATGATTGGTATCACACACGAACATGTGATACGTGTCATAATACAAGGAGTGACCCCAACAGTTGTAGGGCCCGGCCAGGCATTGCCTATAGTAGGGTCGACTAGACCTCTAGTAGGCCACGCTATTCTGGCCTAGTAACTTTTGAGGTGCTCAGCGGCCCTTGACAATTGACGATAAGCCAATGCAAGAATTCTGCAAGTTAACTTCAGCGGTCAACTCAGTGACTCAGTGACGGTCGTCCTTCTCATGTGTAAGCTTCGGAAAACGGGCAGTGACCATGCTGAGATGTGTCAACGTTGATGTACAAGCTTTTTTAGGCGGTAGCTTACCCGATGACTAAGCACCCAACCTTGTCTTAGAAGAATCACACAAAACGAGGCATTGCAAGCTACAACTACGTGCTCAACCTACACTCAACTGCAACTCCGACCTGCCTGCACCTGCACCTAGTCCCGCTCTTCGGACCTCTCACGAAGTAACAATCTGTTTTTGCGATTCTCTCATGACTATCTACCAAACCTAGGATCAAACCCGGCGCTCCGGAATCACGCTTGTTTTCCTTCTCTGTGCACTTTATGCTGCCTTTCATCGGCTCTTGCACGACAAACACACAGGTCCTCTCTAAGAAGCAAAGCTACCCAGAATATACACTACTCTCAAACTGACCTCTCGGAAACCATTGCTTCGACCACATTATGTTTAGAAGGGTCCCTAAACCTGCAACTAGATGGTCGCCGCTTGCTCCCCCTGCGCCAACGCTTGCCTCTCCGCTCGTGCGGGGACGATGTAATACTGGTCGTATACTGAGTGCCTGCAAGCAGGTGAGTCAGACGCTTCGGCTCCAACGCGTCTTCACTAGGAGGCAAGGATAACTTACTTGTCATCACTTCGAATCCAATTAAGGCAAACGTTGTCTTCGTTGGAGTAAACAGCTATCGCCTCACGCACATTTTTGCAGAAGAAGTGGATACAAGAACCAAGAGCCCAAAATGGGAGCGACACTGTTTTGATTATTTTCAGAGCAAACGGCACCAAAGCACCTACGCACTGAAGGGCACTCGCAAATATCGCTGCGTCTATTGAACTCCGGTCAGCCAAATGCAGCTGTGACGGTGGCGATAAGAGGAACAGTTGTCTCCGTAGGATCCAACTCTATAATCGTGTGCTCCGAATCTGCTGTGCATAGCTGAATGAGAGCCCCATGAAAAACAATGACTGGCATAATTGGGCGCGCGGCATCGAGTGATACCAAGAGCTTACTAACACGTCGACTAAGAAAAACGACGGAAAGATTCCAGACCAACCAGGAAGCTTACCTTTGCCGACTTCCAAAGAGCAATGGATAGTTGTAGATCAAGAGCTTCCGCTCGTCGTCCCAACACGGGAGCCGATGGTCGTTCCTGCGCGCTTGGCTGGGGAAGAACACAAAAACGCATGAGCATCGGAGGTTATAATTCTGATCGTTATAATCGCCACGAAACGAACAACTTGCGCTGCACAGCTCGTGGTGTCGCACCGTTCAATCAGTGTAGTTTCAAGGCAGACTCTGATGGCCGAAGTTACTTGTAAATAGTCCGCAAGGCCAACGCAGATTCTAATGGTTGACGTTTCTTGTAAAACCTCTGCAAGGCAAATTTCCACGTGGAGCACTCAAAAGAGGAACGGGGCGTTCATCTGTGATGTCGACACGAACTGAAGTTGCTTCAAGCCAGGAAGATTCGATGCGGACGAAGAAAGTGAACGACAAAGAAGCAAGCCGGAGAACGGAAGGAGGAGCTAAAAGACAAGGTAGCTGGAGGGAAGGCAGCAAGAGGAAGGAAGGAGCCAACTACAAGCAGGAAGAACGACGAGGAAATGGAGAACGAGGAGGTGAAGGAGATACCTGACGATGAAGTTGGCGGTCGCTTGCATCAATTGGATCGCGTCCAAAGAGTGCGGCACGTGGTAAGTGCTGTACCATTCGTAAGCAGACTTCTGCAGCGGGACACACAGACGAGGCTGGTCAATGCGAGCGTCGGATCGGCTTGACGTCCAAACTAAACCTGATGAGCACATCGTTGTCGGTACACTCGCTCTCAATAAGTTCGGAGTCCCGAATGACAGGGAAATCCGCGTCGAAATAAGAGCGTTCCAACATTTTGCGCGTGATAGTGAAGGCCAGTCTGAAATCCATGAGAAACCCTTTACTACCAAGTCAATCTCTTCGCAACCGGAAGCCAGTTCTTGTTGCGATACAGGCGAAAGCGGGTCAAGAGATGGGTTTCGACTTCAGGCGGCCCTCAAAGTTTCGGGGTTCAGAGAATTTTGAAGGCGCCAAACGCGTCGAGCATTCGGAAGCACTTACCTCTGGATGCCACTGTGTCCCAGTGAAGGGGTAACTGGTAGCCTGGATGGTGCTGACGTAATGCTGCAGGCAGGGTACGTCACAATGGTCAGTAGCACACACTTTGTGGGGGTAACAAGCGGCAGAATCGTCGGGCGAATTCTGCAGGCTTGCGACGGGAGATTCTGACGGAAGAGGTTCTTGAAGGTGGGGGGCACCGACCATAGTCCGTGGGATGTGAGTCGGGGGTTAGGTGTCTCCTAACCAGTAACCCGGGTTACTTCTAGTCAGGTGCTTTCTGACCGAGCACGGGGAGGGTGGAAGTAACCCGTATCTGAACAACGCCTACAAACCTCTGAACATCCCTTGAGAAACCCTGCGTGACCTTTGTCGCTTTGGAAAAGAGAAAGGGAGTAGGAGGCACCCTGTTTGGCTCGCACATCGTTTCTTTCAGGCTACACTGTGCTGCACCGCAAACTTCTGAGCCTGCCTCGAACGTTTTCGCTTGCTTCCTGGTGCAGTCTGGATTGTACAAAGGCTTTCGACAGGGCGACAAACGCAGTCTCACCGTTCCCTCTTTGTCGGGCGATGTCGTCAGCATCTCGTAGAAATTGGAGATGTCTTCGTTCTCGTCGAAGCGGTCAGGGTTCAGCCCAAACTGCACAGTAATAGAGTGCGGCGGCTATTCAGCTAAAAGCTCCGGGAAAAACTAATCACCTTCAATGGCTGACGTCATATCCTGCCGTCAGAGGCCGAAGAACTCCTGTCTCGAGTGTCGTTTTTGATGTAGCTGCAAACGCTCTTGCGGACGCTTTTATAGCGCGTTTGCATATGCATCAGTTTCAGTTGATACGCAAGTCTGGTTCTGGGCCCTGAAAGTCATCGAAACAATCAGGCCGTTCTTTTTTGAGTCACGAAGTCCGACCAAGCTCCATGCAGTTCGATTCATGAAACAATCTCCGGACAGACTCGACTTACGTGGTGGTTCTCCATAGCGACCGGGACTTGCTTTATCCGCTCTATCAACTCATCGCTCAACCTGCGGACAGACGGACGGTGCAGATGAGCTCATGCTGGACACAACGGACGGTCCAGATTGGCGAAAGTCCCCCGGAAGCTTTGGGGGAAAAAAAGTCTTTATCTGAAGATGTGATGGGCCACTCAATCGACCAGTACGCACAGGCCTGGATCTGCCACTAAGGAATGCTCCTTCATTCGCTTGCTTCGCGAGAAAGTCAGAACGAGAATCGGGCTAGGCATAACATCCAATTTCATGCGGAAGAGAGACCAGACCGGGCTTCTGCTCATGAAACACGACCGCAGTCTTTCCCAACGCATGAGTCACCGTCGAATGCATCGCAGATCCACAGTTGGTGACCTGGTGAAAAGACACCAAACGGCTGGAACACGCAAAACGCTGTCCGCAAAACGCTGCACAAAAATCATAGCCAGGTACAGGTTGGCAGCACAGAGTGTGAATCACAAGGTTAAGGGGCACGCACACGGCCGTGAGCGGCGTGATGACGTTGGCTGACGTCACTGTCTTCGCTTCATAATGGACGGGGACGAGAGTTTAAGCGCTCACCAGGCAAACATGGCTTTCCTCCTGGCCGACCGGTAGGGGAAGAACAAGGTTGCTGGCGCAGCGGTGGCGTTGACCCGCCGCAGTATCTTGTGTTTCTACAGTGAAAAAGAGGGTAATTTGATCAATTGACTTCAAAAATGTGATTTTGACATCAGTCAATCTTGCAAGTGCGCTGCAGCTTTTAAGTAGTCTGTTGCGGATTCTTTCATCTTGACCACTGCCTAGAGCGAGCATCAGTCTGCGATTTGGAATTTTGTGCCTGCGCAATCTTCTTTTTCAACAGGCATCTTCGTTCGGCATTCTCCGACCGGCAAAATTTGACAATTGAGCGAAAGGACAGGACGTTTTGCAAAACGACAATTGTAGGTGGAGGCTCGAAGTTACGTGGGAAGGAGTTTATTTAAAGGGCCCAGAAGCTACCCGAAGATCGAAAGTACCCTCGCCTCGACGATCTGAGCTTTATCCGCAGATTCAACACGGCAACTCTCGATAGGCTCTCTCAATGTTGCTTGAAAGGTGCTTTTGTTGAGACTGGTGTCTTGAGTGGTTGCTTTTCAACAGACATTTTCGAGAACGATTTGGTCGCTTCAACCAGTGCGAGGATGCAATCTGGAAATTAGTCAAAGTCGAGATTGGGTGTCCCCTGGGAACCAATCAAGAGAAGGAGCGGATAACTTGAGTCCACAAACCCAATTTCCTGCCTGGTTGATTGTACGAGAAAAGTTCCTCACCGCGCTAACTGCTTTCAACATGAGCTCCATCCCTAGGCAGATGCCGTGGACGGCAAAGAAGTCACCGTCGTCGTTGAGCCTCATGGCAATCTGCACAGAAGAAGCGTAAAGTCGGATGCTTCGAAAGGGCGAATCAATCCCGAGTTTTCAAAAAGTCAAATAGTCTGCAGAACACACAGGAGTTCGTAAGACTCCTAATGTCCGCTGAAAAACAAAGAGGATCGGAGGTGCTGGCCTCTGCTCATGAGCCTGATCAGAAGTGACACCAGAATCTGGCAAATCAAAGAAGGTAATTTGGCGACGAGGTTGATGGGGCCGGTTGATGAATGAGCGTGAAGAACCCTACCGGCACAAGCTCTGCTACCTATCAGGTCCCGCTATCTATAAGGCCAGTTTATCTGGGACAGATGGGACTGCCAACCACAGACCTGCGCGTTCTATAACTGAGTCGCTTAACCTAACATACCACCACTTAAGTCTCTTGAACCAGGAGGTGAAACTTCAACTATTTGCGGACAATTCAAGGCACAGCAATTGCAGCTTCAACTTTGACACGCACTTCTCCAGATGTATGATGTCAGATAAGTCACGTACAAATAGGGGCGGCACAACGGAAGCCTTATGGTGCCGAGGAGGCCTTACATCCAGGAGCTTCTTTCCCGCTTGGTAGAACTCGCTGCTTTTCTTGAGGCTGGCAAAGCCCCCTGGTATCACGAGCATGTTGATCTGCGACATGACCTGCACAGGCAGAAAGCTGCCTGAGAAACCAAGTCCGAGGGCATCGAGACTACCATGAAGTGCACAGTCTATGGACGAGCTTTCTGTCATTTGTTTGTGCGTGCTTGACTGATTTCTTAAGAAACATCCAGTCCGGATATGGCTCGCAACACCAGTTAACAGACCGTGTCCGATGCTTGACATCAAGATAGTGAGCGAAACAAGAGACCTACGGATGAAGCCGCACCACCAGGAGGGTCCATCCAAAGACAAACTTGGCTGGCGCCCACTTTATTCCTGGTACTAGCGCTCATTCGTAGTCGTACTAGCGCTCATTCGTATTTCAAATGCACTCTCATCAATGCTTTGTACATGATGGGGAGAACTGAGTCAGGCCAAGCTCTACCCCATATGTCTACTCATTGGCTTACGCAAGCATGGTACAGAGAGACATGGCGCCTGCATTCACAATCAACCACCGAGTGTACAAAGCACACTAACCAAACCCTTGACTTACCTTCTCAAACTCCTCGTCTGTTGAGTCATGAAACACTGGCACCACTTGCGCCCCTCCCGCCTCGAGCAACCTCACGTATGACGCACCAATGAACAGCTTGTCCAGCCCGGTGTGCTCCGCATCAGGTTTGGTCATGTTCCAGCTGTAGTACGGCTGAGTCAGCACGCCAATCAGCAAATGCCGGTGCTTGTGATGTCCTGGCCAGGGTAGATCCACCGACCTCCCCAGGTCTCCCTGCCAGTCTGTACCTTCCACTCTCCAGCTGTCATCTTCTGATTCATCTTCAGGGGCCAGCTTCTCATTCCCTTGCACACCCATTCGGCGGGCGGGTTTTAAGCTGACATCATCGTCGTCGTCCCCGTCAAAACCTGCATTCTCGTCGTCTGCTGAATCGTCGGCAGAGTTTGGCACGCTGCAGTTTGCGCTGACAACTCCGATGCTTTTGTGACCGCTCATTTGAAATGCAGAACGAAGCCTCAAAGGACGCTCAGAGCTTGACAACCCACGCTGCATGCACAAGGCAATCAACAGGAAGCACAGGCACCAATGCTGGGGGCGAAAGCGGCCAACAAGGGACACCATTCTGGCGCCCAAAATCTGCATGCAGATCTGGTGTCATGGGGCGCGCCTGAACCAGGCCCAGGGCCAGAGTTTTGTGATCTGTGAAAATTGAATTCTATCTAGATTGCATCCAGACCAATTCACGGTATTACCGGTAAAACACGCATTTCAAATCCAAAATTTCCATATCTGCGTGTGGGAACGGTCCGAACAACAACGGCGTCAGTAGTAACGGTGTTACCAAGGGCTTCGGAAGATAAGGAACCGGCCAGGCGGAACGCACAATCTCGAAATGGCTGGGGGACAAGCGACCAGGCTGTCATCATCGTCCATCCTCTCAACGTCAACAAATTGACGGCTACGATTCGTTCTCTCCGGCGCAAGAGAGGAGGCCCAAGCTTAAGAGTCCGGTCCTGGTCGCTAGCAGCTAATGCCCAAGTGCACTCTCAGACTGGCTTCATTAGGTGAAGATCGGACGGCTGTGACAGCGTTTCGGCCATCTCAGAATTGTGCGTTCCGCCTGCCGGCATCCTCCTTGACGACTTTCTATGCATGCTCTTGAATATATAAGAAATTATATATCTGGCGAATGTAGAGACCAACAAAATATACCAGCTAGAGTGGCAGATCTCCCTCGATTGCGCTTCCACTGCCAGAGTTCATGATTCACGGCCGGAGGAGGACAGTGCTCACTGCTCAGTCTCCACAAATGTCCAGGCGCTCTCTTGATAGTGCTCGTGGTGGAAGGACGCAGCTAGGCAGCTGTTGCTCTTGAAGATTCTGACGGGCGTTACATACAAGCACACTACTGTTTTATATTCTGCCCTTGACCTCTTCTGTGATCCAAGAATGGCCCCAGCGGCCGGGCAAAAAGACTCGTGGTTTGGCAGCCTCTCCAAGTCACCAACGGCGCAGAAGGGCCAGCAGTACTTCGATAACACCGTGTACGTCACGAAGAAGATTCTGTGGAGCACCGGCAAGGCTGCATGGATCTTGGGAACGACTTTTCTGGTGCTGGGGGTGCCGCTGATTATTGAGATGGACAGGGAGGCGCAGCTGGAGCAGCTTGAGAGCAGCCAGGCAGTGCTAGGGACAGGGCAGGCCCCGGGGGCGCTGCCGACGCCTGCCCCCCGATGAGGTGTAAAGGTTATGGTCATAGGTTAGCTTGATTGAAATGCGTTACTTTTTGTTTGCTCTTAATCAGGATTCTGGATGCTAATCAGGCGTAGAGGCTGGTCGGCCCGTGCGACATGGAGTTGGCAAGAATCTGGGTTTTGCCGGCGGCAGCTAGGTCTTTCCGACCAGAAAGCAATATTCACTTCGTTGTCAGGTGGGACGAGAAGGAAAGTGAAGGCGATGAGCAATTCGGCTTAGCTGCTGAATACAGCAGGATTTGCACATATGTAGTCAGATCAATGGATACAAGTGTTCTGAGATAGTCATCAGTGGTCGAGTCCTGGCTAAGCTTTGGATATCCTGACATGTGATGTGACAAAACACCACCACTTGAGAGAATTGTCGCACGCACGATCTGGGGCTCTTCCATTAGTGCCAACTTGTGCGTCCCATTATTTTTTCGAGGGTGAAACAGCACTTGCTAGAACGCCCATTGTTACAGATCTTTCTGTACCACTCGCAAGCTTCAAAATGCAATGATGCTAACCACATACACTATGACTGCATGCAGCAAGTGATCACGAGATTAGTCCCATCATGCTAAACACAAGCTGCATACGCACATGTTTCCTGTTGGATTGTTATGCTTGATAAGAAGGCGTGCAATTGCTATACTAGTCATGGGCTGGCGGCCAGCTATTTCCATGATGTCAACGAATGCCGAATTGCAAGATTTTATATGATCTCGTGATGTTGTTGTTTGTAGGTTTTCAGGCCTATTCACTACGTCAATTTGGAATACCGTCGCTGCCTTGTGGAAAATATAGCTAGGAGAACAGCATCGAGGGCCCCAGGCCAATTACTAGTTCCTGCACAAATAAAGGCCCAGACTCAATCATTTAAGAACACTATACAGGAAAAGTGCACCTTGACGCATCTGCGACAACATGCATACAATTCTAATTGGTGCTCGATCAGAACTGATTCCTTCAGTCATTGATTTGTCATTTGCCAGGCCACTCAATGAGGTATCTGATACCCTGCACCATTAGTTCATAGCATCAATCTTAAGATCTGAGCTAGCGCAGCTAGGCTAGGCTCCAGTTGTGCACGAGTATAGGTGCTAGAGGCTCTCGGTGGGCAGCCCGGTATGATGTGCACTGCTGATACAACGACCCTGGCTCATGCAGGCCACCTCAAGCGCAATCCTCTGACAGCTACAGGAGTGGGCGGCCATCCAAACAACAGAGCGATCAACATAACGGAAACATGGATAAGGTAGACGTGAAAATACAAAGAAAACGAGGCTGATGCGTGCATCTTCACATGTGCGCGCAGCTCCCAGAGCCTGGCTGCACGAAAGGGCTGCCGTGCTGCTGATAAACGGCTTTACTTCGTAACTAATGAGAAAGCAGCCTAAAAGACCACAGTGTCCATCATCGTTCCTAATGTTTGGACGATGTTCGAAGCCATTAGCGACGACACGTTTTCCTCTAGATGCTTCTTGGCGTCTTGCCGGCCCACGTTGGCGACGGCCAGCTTCTCGGGCGTCAGCTCGTCCTCCTCGATCACCGCAGTGTTGTACTTCTTGGCAAGGTCGAGCATTTCCTGCAGAGCATCAAAGGTAGCGGCTCGAGATCTGCTGTGCTAAAACCCTAAAAACCTGAAATCCTAAAACCATAAGACCATAAGCAGCATGAATGAATCCTTGATTGAAAAAGTCTGTATTCTGCTCTTTCTCGGCCACTAAACAATGTAATCTCTTTGCTACAGATCCATTGGAGGTTCGCCGAAAATGTCGCGAACTTAATAGTGCTGACCCTAAATCCAGCATCTGAACTTCCGGCAAGAGCTCAAGAAGACGCCAGAGAATCTCCATCAGGACCTGAACTGCTACACAGGCAGGTTTCGAAAACTTGTTTAGAGCTTCTAACTTGACACCGTGTTCACAAAAGACCGCCTTCGCATCCTGAAAGCCCAACCCGAAGCCAGCCATTGAAGCCGCTCTGCTTTCCTGGCCCTCGAAACAGCCGCAAACTCATCTGTCAAAAGCACAACAAACAGACTCTCGACAGCATTCCCCTCGGCACGTCGTCTCTGCTTACCGTGACAGTCTTCTCGTTCGTCTTGGCATGCGCGTCGAAGCGCTGCAGGTTGAGCCCGTCCGTCCACTTCTTCTTGTGCAAATTCAGGAGCATCTTCTCCTCCAGCTCATTCTTCCGGTAATTGATGCCAATGGAGTAGTAGTGCCGGTTCAGGCCGTGGATCAGCGCCTGCAAGACAGCAGAATCGTTCCTTACAGAGATCTAGAAACAGTCTCTCGGTTGAATGAGGAACTCCTCAGTAACCGGCCTGTACTTGGAGTTCACCAAGTCGTGAATCTGTCATATAAGACTCCTGGGAACGGAAACCAGAGACGGAGACGACCTCAACAAATCATCCGGTTAGACTGAGAAGCATCCTTCTAGAAACGATCAGTTGCAAAATGCGTTCGCTTCGTATGTTTCTCTCCTGGAGCATCCCCCTGACAGACAGAGTCGGCCCATTTGCACCGAGGAAATGGCCGCTGTTTGAGCTTGGAGACCCCGACTCGGCGAGTTACCCAGCGGCCGGCCTAAATGAACGGCTTGTCCAGATGCCAAAGGTTCAAGACTGTGGAGCAACCAGCGGAGGCCATAGACACGAAGGCCCTGATTGGTGTATTCTAACTAGTCCGAGTCCATGTAGCGCTCTTACTAGAAACGCTGTGGAAGCGCCTGACCTGGATGGACGGCTTGTTTAGGTGCCCCAGGTTAGACGTCGTCTGGCGGGGCTCCTGCCCGAGCATCATGGTCTGCGGGTTTATCAACCGGAACGCGTCGATCACCACCTTCCCCTTGACGCTCTGGATGGGGTCCACCACGACCGCGACCGCGCGCTGGTTCAGCGCCTCAAAGCTCTGCACAACAATTGGATCGAAGGATCGTCATGAAATCAATTCTTCATTTTTGTGGCTTCGAGAAAGTTTCTGTCGCTTAACAATCGAACCGAAGGATCGTCATCAGGGTCAAGTGTTGATTTCTGTAGCTTAAAGAGAGCTTCTGTTGCTTAAAGAGAGCGTTGGAGGGTGAGATTGCCGCCATGTAGGGCAATAGCAGCGGTTTCGAGGTCTTCGCGACCTTAGTCCTTACAGAATCCTTACAGAGCTTTTGACCTTACAGATAAGAAGCAGTTGCGAAGATGGAACAATGGCTTGCCGGTCTGTAAGTGGATTCTTTTTCAAAGCCCTTACAAACGATAAAAGCATGTGATCCTTGATGTTCACACGGCGCAGAGGACGAGCGGTACCTGTCAATAAGGTACTGACTGTGTGTCGCTGGAGAAGCAGAGAGTATCACGACACGAACTATGTTTGGGAGATGAGAAGTGACCGCATGACACTAGCTGAGCTTAAAGACTCGATTTGCCTACAGGGCATGCTTGAAATACTGACGACACCACAAAACGCATAGTGCCTCCTGAAACAATTTTCCGGCTCTGGAAGATTCTGGGGCACCCACTTTCCTCGTGCATCTGTCAACTTCGGATGTCGACTCGTGTCAACTTTTGAGCATTTTGATCTATAGAAAGACAAACAGGAAACCTTTGCTCAAGCCAATTCTCCACTTGAACACCCCTGCAAAATGGGGAGCCTTTCCTCTGCGCACAGTTGCTCAACTGCTGCACACCAAACCTACACCGACAACCAGCACCCCATTACAGACACGTGTGTCACCACGTTAACCTCGAACAACCGCAGCGAACCACTCCCGTCTTGTGCTCATACACCCTCTCACCTGTTGCGTGTCGATATCGACGCCCAACAGCCAGCACCACAAGAAGCAACCCACTTGCAACTGCACACTCCAATGGCTTGAGCGTCTGCCACCAACGGCGCGATCCTCACAAACAACAGACTCATATCCAGAATAAAACGTCCTACGTACCTGTTGCGTGTTGATATCCACTCCCGACAGCCAGCACCCGAACCCCGGGTGAGAGTGGTACCACCCGACCACCATCTCGGGGCGCCCCGTCTGCTTGAGCTTGTCCAGCATCTCCGTCTGGAAGACGGGATCAACCGCCTCGACGCTGACGCCAGTCCCGCTCTGCGGCATCGCAAAAACGTCCACGACGCGCACCGTGTAGTCGTCCACAAACTCCCCCAGCATCAGGCCCATCACCTCCATAGGGACGCCCGCTCGGCCTGCAAAAGAAGAACCGGTTAACGAGTAAGGTTATATTAGTTCAACGATCCTCAAAATATTCATCATCCCCCCCCCCGCATGCCAAGTCGCGTGCCTAGATTCTTTATGGGTTGGTAGTGGCCACTTGCCCACTGGCGCCCCCCCCCCTGTGTTCCCAAAATGACTTTTATCAATGTCTTCCACTCCCCTTTTGAGGAATGTTTTCGACTCCAGTGCTTCGCATGAGTGTTTTTAATCTGAAGTTCCTCAGAAGCTCACAGTGACACTACGCTGTGACCTCAGACAAAGGATGTCTTAGTCTGTTTTATCCCTCAACTGCATCTTGACCACGTCAAGCACTATGTATGTATGACTCTCAGCGAAAGTTTCTGTGAGAGCCCCAAGAAACAGACCGAGTGTTTAAGGCCTTTGAAGTCAAACTGATACCAAATCGCTTGCAAAAACATCTGTTGGTGCAATCTGGACTCTTTTTCAAGACAGTGTCTTTACAGCAGCTCGGCTGCAGCTGCTCTTGACTGCTGGATCATCAAAGTACGTCTTGATATGCGCCAACGAGAAAGTATGAGGGCTCCTTGAATGTTATATTGCTCCGCAACCAAGTAACAAAGAGCGCACGGATGCCTCCACCGCCAGCTATTGGTGATCATCCAAGGGTTTAACAAGATCCTGATGAGCTGGCATCCAACCTCAAGGTTTCACTTGCTTGGAGTCAGTACAATCTCTAGGCAGCTTACCACCAAGCCGGCAGAAAAAGATTCTCTTGAAGCATGGGCTCAGAAAAATACAGTAGCTAAGAAGGAATAATTGTAGCTTCTGATCAGCTTGTTTACGTCATTCATTGAATGCTCAGGTGTGTGGCACTAAATCTGCCAATGTAAACGTGCAAGCTTGCAGCCAACTCTCCTTCTGAAAACTCTAGTTATCCTGCCTAGCAGGATTAGATGCCGGGTCCACGTCGTCTTTGGGCATTCTCTTAGGACGGCAGCTTAGAACTCATGATAAGAGAGCAGGAACCCCAGCTTTGTTGTTAAATTTCATCAGGAAAACTTGCCGCATAGCATCCTCCAGCTTGAGAATCAGAGCACCCACAAGGCCTTTTTGGCAAGCTGGAATTACGAATGTTGATGGAATCAGCTCATATTCGCACGTTCAATCATCCAGCCTTAGGGCAAAGTACTAATACTTGGCGCTTTGAGCTAGCCACTCGGCACACTCCACACAGGACATCAAAGCTCACCGTGCTTCAGCATCTTCAGAAGGGCCAACGACGAGATGTACACCTGCTCCGACGTATCAACCATGGGAGCGTCAGCGGGTGGGCCTCCACCCATCCCTGCACCCCCGCCGGCACCAGACTGGAAGATTCTTTGCAACCGATCCATCTTTGCAGGATAGGGGGCTTCACAACTTGCGTTCAGTCAGCACCGTATCCTGCTTCCTTTGTCTCAAATGGCTGTGATGATAGAGCGCCCGACGTAATCGAGAAGCAGACCCTTGACGGCGCCCTGCAACTTCACAAAGCGGCTAGAGACAGCCGACGAGCAGAGCTGAAGCAAGGTACGGTACAAGGTTGTAAGGGACCGTACCGGTAATCGAGCCGTAAGCTGCTTGAAGCCTACGGACTGGAGCTCTAGGCTTCCTCTTTGAAGCTCCAGGCTTCCCTTGGATTCAATGCTGCATGAGCAAACCCAAACGTCTCGAGGCAGCTCAAGACTGGCCATTGGTGGCCAATGGCATTGGCAAGCTTGGTTTCGGTTGTCTCCGTACTAGGAACTTGGTGACAATTCAGTTGCATGAACCATTGGCATTGTAGATTGAATGCATCAAAGCAGATTTGACAGCGCAGGCGCCAGCGGACATCATGCTGCTTGTAAGTTCATTTGCCCATCTCCAATCAAAGCATTTTGTCATTGAGTCTTGAGACAAGCTGGGGCTTCGCATGTCTGTGACCTCCAAATCTATGAAATTAGCAAGAGTGGCATGCGATCTTGCAAGACTTGGCGTCGAGCCGCCATTGTCTTGTGTTGTGCCAGGTGTAGCGAAGATTAGATTCACATTCCATGTTCAGAAATGATTCGCCTCTGCAAGTTGCACTGAAACATCCGTTTTGAGGCTTGGTGACCATACATCACCGCTTCAAATGCAATGACCAAGTCAATCGGACAGAATCAACAAAACGCAAACAATTTCCATACACATGCAATCGGTGATTCATCAAAGGAGACAACAGATGAGGTGCACATGCCATGATGATACATCCTTGTTGATTCCTTTGCATGTAAGCGCTACCACTCCCCGCAACACTTGGGAGGCAACACTGACTTCCTATACTGCAATTTCTAGATCTATACGGTAGATGAGCGTTTCTGAGACCCAATGTCCGATAAGCGTTTCTCAGACTCGATGCTTAGATACGACTTGTGGCTGCCCTTGTGGCCTCCTCTCGTGAGGACGGAAACAGTTCCACATACCGCGAGCCAATCATCTGCTTATTTTTCTCAAGCGCCCTCCTTGCATCCCCCGTGCTGTTGAACTCGGCAAATGCCTCCCCAGTTGACCTGGCAAGGCAAGATAGCAAAGACGGATGTGAGGAATCGAAACGACGATGCAAGCATGCTTAAGACATGCACAAGCGCGTGTGGATTTGTAATCCAGTAACGGCTAGCCTCCTCAAAGCTTGACACCCTAGCCGCTTATCAGCTCCCATCAGTAATAGCTCATTGGACTGTGCAATTTCAAGGTGAGGCTTGCACACGCACACAAACAAAGAGCAACCGTGGTTGGAAATGTCTTACAGAGGCCCTAGTAAGCAATCCGCAGAAAGACAAGCGCACACAAACAGATACCATCAGACGACCAATGATTCTACCAGATGTTGTCTTCCAAGAATCTTTGCCACCGCATGTACATTCAGTCACTGCACGCCTGAAAAGGACTGAAGTGCACGAGCATGCCAGCTTGCAAAGCTTGACCGCGATCAGCGAATTGGTTGGCCGTGCCAAACTTCTCCTCCAACCTTCTCCAGCCCCAAAGCTCACCTGCCGTCTGCTGACGTCACAATATGCAGGCTGTCTTCATTCAGCCCGAACTCGCCGAAGAACTCGATGATGTCCTGCTTGCTCGCGGTGTACGGCAGGCCCCTCAGCTTGACAACCGTGAACTCGTTGCCCCGGTCCATAACAGGGCCCTGCATCATCGGAGGGGCGCTCCTCATAGGAGGGGGGCCCCTATTTCGCTCAGGGTAGTCCCTCCGCTCGGGCGTGCGCTCCCTAACCCTCATGTCCCGTTCCCCCCGGAAACGGTCATCTCTCATGGGGGCTCGAAGCGGAGGGGGGCCGCCAGGGCCGGGTAGGAAACCACCGCGGGGGGGGGCGAGGTCCTGGACTGGGGGGAGGTCGACAGGACCCCCCTGCTTGACCTCCTCTGCGACAGCCTTGTAGTAGTCCGACTTTTTGGTTGGGAAGACCTCGACGTAGCGGCGGCCCATGTGCTGGCGGTTTTTCTGGAGAGCGAAGTTGACCTGTGCAAAGCAGAGGTGAGATGACAGGTGAGAAAATAAACAGCGGTCAGGATGGAGTAGGAGTAGCAAAAAAACAAACCAACAGCAAATGCAAACGCAACGAAAGTAAACATTGGAGACAGAAGGAGAGGGCTAAAGGATTCGATGCTTAAAGCCGCTAAACGTGCTTCTCACACAGCGGGCGCAGAAATGTGGTCAGTTCTCAAAGACAGCCAACCGCTTAGAGCTGGAAGTCTGCACTCCTTCCGAGGGAATTGACTGAGGAAACTACAGGAGCACGGGGCTGCGATTGGTGCCCAAATGTCCTTGCATGAAGAAGGCAGCGAATGGGCTTCTCATCTTCTATCCTGAGGGGAACTTAACACATGTTTGTAGGTGTGCATGTGCCGACTCCTGGGAGCAATTGCTGTCCAAAAAGTGAAACACCTTCCTTTTCCAACCAAGGACCAGAGCACATGGAGATACTCTCTACAAGCATAGCACATGGATACGCTGGTAGCTGCATTCCTTCAAGCAACTGATCACGAAATACAGATAAGCCCAAAAACTTGGAACAGAAGCAGAAGCTCCAAATAGGCCGCCGACCTGCACTGCTGCCCCAAACACCACGAAGGCGTCCCCGTTGAACTTCCCGTCCTCCGCATTCCTTACGAGCAGCACGTCGACCACGTCGAGCCCCTGGAAGAACTCGACCACGTCGACTTCATTTGCCCGAAACGGCAGCCCCCGCAGCTTCACCACCGGGAACTCCCGCCTGACTGGGAGGGGCCCAGGGGGCGCCAGAGCACCTGCCGGTCCAAATCCTGGGCCTGGTAGCCCCCCCCGCGCAGGGGGTCCCCCTCCAAAGAACGGCCCCGGTCCTCCAATTGGCGGCTCCAGCACTCTCTGCCGCTTGGGGTCTGGGAGGTCGCCATACCCCGGGTCAAAGTCTCTGCCCCTCCCAGGACCAAAATCCCTTGAGAAAACATGGCACCCCGCCAAGAGTTAGCCCTAGTGCGGTGGTAATGAAGACCCATTGACGTGAGCGTCTACTCTGCCTGCAACCACTCAGGTATTCTGCACCTGTTGAGACTACCTGCAGCCTTTGACTAGGAACATCCACAGGGGATCCGCAGCGTGTTTGTTCACTAAAAGCTAGAAGCCAGCTCGCAAGTGAAGCAAGCTAGTCCAGATTCCATGGTTACCAAGCTAGTCCAAAATCCAGGATCACCATGGTATTAACATAACCATTATGCAAAACCGCCGACCACAAGTTTAGCACCATGCATCCTTGTTCCTGTCCAAACAAAAGCTGCTCCCTTGGGTGAAAGAGGAGACCTGTTTTGCAGCCACTTACCCCCTGCTAACCCTCCCATTAGTCCCTACAGGACCCCCCCCAAAACCCCCACCCCCAAACGCTCGACCTCCCAGCATATCGGACGTTGCTCTGTGCAGCCCCGCAAGCGCTCCCCTACACCTGCCAAAAAGATGCTGAGAGAATCCCCTTTAAGTCAGTCAGTCAGCTTCCAAGCCCCAGAAAGAAAATAATAATAAAACCCTCTATTCACGGATGCGCAACTGGCTCGCTTTGATTAGCTTGACGACAAGCAGGGATGGACAAACAGCAGCACACCTATCCACCAACGCTCTTCGAGCGCCCCTTTCCACCTTCTCCAAAAGCCTGAAATCGATGTCTATAGGCCATTAATAAGCTGCTTGTCTGCCAAACCTGCAGGACTGTTGGAGGCGACCTAACCTTGAGTTTAACCGTCATTCCGCTGCTGGAAATTTTGAAGCGGATGCAAGCTACCAGACAGACAACCGCCCGCAGCGAGTTCCGTTTCCTCTCCGGAACGTGCTGGGTTACCCCAAACCCGGTTTTGTATGCCTGTATTCAACCTGACGTGAACTGTTGATCAAGAGAAAGGACATGCTGTTCCATGTGCAGTGGACCTGATTCATATTGGCATGAGGCAGCAAGGAGAAGCGCCAGGGAAGTTGTAATCTGCTGTATGATGGTCTCCATGTGTAGAGCCTCTCTACTCATGACCTTGATGCCAGCTTCTGAGCATCTCAGCAGGGAGTTGCGTGCGGACAGCGCTGCAATTGCTGCTTACGGAGATCTCAAGCAACGCAGCCTGTGCTTAGCTCAGCGGAGGCGGACCGGTGACAGATCCTTGTCATCATATGAGAGGAAAGCAAGCTCGAACTCTGTCAATATGTGTATTTGAGGTGGCCTGTGATTTGAGGGAGTGACCGCATTGAATCGCTGAGAGACCTTGTCCAGAGACCGGAAAGTTGTTGTGGTTTCAGTAGCAATACTCAAGATGCTGCCAACTAGCCGCCGGGATCGCTATGACAATGCGAAGGGACGGCGTGGGGGCATCCTTAAGGTGATCCAAGCGTGCTGGCCCTCACAACTTCGATCATCATCTATTTATTGCATCAAAGACAGACCTTTGAGACCTTTGTCTTTACTTTGTTGTTCTGCAATTTCCCTGATTTGCAACATTTCTCACTGTTGTTTCTTCATGTCTAACCTACTCGTAGATCTCAGAAAAGTCACAAGACGCAGCTGTATCCAGACAGGCAAAATATTCCAGTTCCTCTGTTGGACGCCTTCTTTTAAGAGAAAATTGGTCTCATTATGTTGGTCGCATATCCATGCAGATGTTTGTTTCATTACAAAACATGCCCACAGATGGGGCCACTACAACGCAATCTTCATACTGTCGCTGCGCAGTACGTTGCTTCAATTTGAATCCCCTCAGAGGGTCGTACTGACCCCTCCAACCCTTTGAACTCACTGCTTTGGTTGTAATTGCTAAGCGCTACAGACAAACTCGTCTGATGAGAGTCAGTGTCATCCAATAATCACCCAGCTGCGTGAAACTTTTGACAAGCGCTGTGCAATAAGTCAGAACTTTTAATCAATGCGAACAAGCTTGATGAAGCTTGGCTTCGTCTGCTTGTGGTGCAGATGCTGCTCCCTTCTTCATGAGGTTGAAGAATCAGATCTGAACCACTAAGTGCAAATACTTGAGGAAAGCTTGCACTTTGCGAAGATTGGAATACACCTTAGACGCTCTAGTTCCACATTCAGCTGCATTTACCAGAAGGGGCAGCTTTCAGAAGCAGTTTGCCCAGCCTACTGACCTTGGCGTTCTGTTTAGCTGTTGATTCGCCTTATGGTTACCCTTATGTTTAAGGCCTTTGATGGTCAGCTCTATCCTTATTATCAAGGCCTTCGATGCTTAGCCTTATTGTTAGCCCTATGATTAGCCTTGTGGATACTTTCCTAACAAACATCATTCTTCTTCCAGACGCTGCTGCGCAAGGAGGGGCGCCTCATCCGCCAGCTAATTGTGCTCCTACTCTTCGCTGCTGTGGCGCTTTTCGTCTTTTGGTCGCTTTCAAACACAAATGCCCCCGCGAGCTCCACCGCTGACGACACGGCCACCGCACTCCCCTCAGAGGACTCCTTATCGACGACCAACAAGCTGAGCGACACGGCAGTTTTGAAGGAGGCTGAAGCCAAGCCGCTGCCATCGGTAGAGGCGATTCCACGTGTTGCCTTTGGGGGCAAGCGGTTCTTGCCTTTGGCTGTGGAGGAGGAGGGTTTCAGTGAGGAGCGCGTTTCGCAAACGGAGGGTGACAAAAGCGGTGGCGAAGTGCAAAGCCAGGAGGGAGATGCGGGGGGCAAAGATTGGGGACGATTGAGGAGGGGAGATTTGGAGGGAGACACACGGAAAGAGGATCTTGGCAAGACGGGAGAGGCAGAAAAGGAGGTCAGCGAAGGGGAGTCTGGGGACATGCAGGGTTCGGTGTTGAACGCCGAAGTGTTGGGCCTTGCGGAGGATCCGGACGACGGGCCTTGGACCAAACCTGCGGAGGAGAAGGGTTCGGGTAAGCCTCGAAAGGAGGCGAAGATAGAACAGTTGGCGGATCTGTTGCACGAGCTGGACGAGGCGCCAAAGAAGGAGGACAAGGTCCACACGGAAAGAGCGGAAGAGCGCAGCGGGGACGGGGAGAAGGCAAAGGAGGGGCTGAGGGGGCGGAAGGTTGAGGCCGGCAAGACGAGCAAGGAGAGAGACGCTGTCGAAGTGCAGGAGTCTCTAGATGGTGTTGCAGAAGATGATCAAGGTCAAGACGGCACGAGGATTTCTGACACGGGGGGGCTGATTCGGAAAGAAGCCGAGGGAGGGGGATCAGGCGCCGCCAGAAGCGGGGGGGGAGAGCTGGAAGAAGACGCTGGTTTGCAGTGGAAGAGGGATGAGAATGAGGGGGACGCAGTGGTGAGAGTAATCAAAAGCCCAAGCAAGGAGGATGAACCAAGTATTGGCGCAGGCAAGAAAGAAGAGCCCGTCGGCAAGGTGATCAAAAGCCCCAGCAAGGTGGCCGGTTCACACTCTGCCGAGTGGGAGAAAAGGCGGCAACTAGTCGTGGCAGCTTTTGAGGACTCATGGGGGGCGTACCGGAAGCACGCGTGGGGACACGACGAGCTGCGGCCGGAGAGCCGCCAAGGGGAGGACGGCCTGGGCGGTTTAGGCGCGACAATTGTTGACGCCCTCGACACCGCAATGATCATGGGCCTCGGAGACATTGTCTCGGACGCCGGAAACTGGATCGACCGCGAGCTGCCGGGCCGCTTAGCGGGCCAGGGTTACGTTAACCTGTTCGAAACCACGATCCGCGTCCTGGGGGGGTTGTTGAGCGCGTACCATCTCAGCGGGGGGGGCGGCGCGGACCTGGCGCTTGCGGGGGGGGCGGTGAGATCGCAGGGGAGGGGACCCCCCCCTGAGGTGTACCTAAAGCGGGCAGAGGACCTGGGGGAGCGGCTGATGTCAGCGTTCTCAAGTCCGACGGCAGTGCCGTTCTCTGACGTCCACCTGGCGAATAAGGAGGGCAAGCCGGCGCAGTTTGACGGGGGGTCGAGCAGCACCGCGGAGGTGGCGACTTTGGGCCTGGAGTTTTGTTACCTGAGCAAGTGAGGCGTTCATGGTCGATTCAAGCTCGACACGTGTCAGCAGAAAGCTGTGTGTGCTCACAAGCGTGTGCTGGCTGGCGAAGTGTGGGGTGTTTTTTGAAACGGATGGTTCGCTAGCAACTTTCTCGCTCTAAATTGCTTGCTTTTTTGATTTTCCAAAACAGATGCTCCATCGTTCTGAGGGTCGCAGGTTGTTTTTAGGACAAGGATACCAAGCAGAACGATTTGCAGGTTGTCACTTGCCTACTTGAATGCAGCCGAGGTCATCATTGCGTTTCAGAGCCTCTCCAGAGGCTGTACTTCTGCCCCATGTGCGACCACCGGTCTCAGCTAACGGTTTCTCTTACCGGCAAAAAACGCCGCGTAAGTGAATTGATCACAGACGTCCTTGAAATTCTCTTAACTTGTACGACAGTACTCCGCCCTCACTTGCCGATCATCCGGTTAGTTGGACATGGGTCTTCATTGCGTGCTGTTCCTGAACGGTCGAGCCTTACGTGTTCACAATCAGCACTTGCCACCAGTCGCTGTTCCTGATCCCCTCACCTTTACCCAACCTTTCGAAAAGCCTCGACTGAATCGAGGCCAATCGACAGTGTCCAAGACTGTGGCGCCTCTTAAGCTGACCGAGCCCACTGAAAGTAGCAGGTGACCACCGTTATTCGTTTGACATCGCCTGCTATCGCCCAGGGCTCCCGTAGGCTCGCTCTAATTTTAGCTTTAAGGGTGCGGGTCGACCGAAAAGCAGCAAAAAGCTTCGTAGATTTCTTAGCCAATCGGATGGCTTTTCGGATCCACGTGGTAGCGCAAGGTACATAACCAGATGAGTAATATGGCTTGAAAAGTACCGTACCTCCTACCTATCGGTACTACCAAGAAACACTGGAGGCCAAGTAGGTTCTCAGTCGACGCGCAACCTAACTTGTCCCTCAACCTCTCATGCCCCAACCCCTTCTCACTCGTAACCATATTCCCTTCCTTCAACCTGGTCATAACCTCTTGTAACCTGCTGCTTATACCCTCCTGACACGTAACTATTCTCCAGGTTAACCAATAACCCCCGGTACTGCGACGCCGCTCTCGGGGTGGTCAAGCACATCCAAAAGCAGCACAGCGTCGACGGCTTGGTGCCGATTTTCATCAACCCGCATTCCGGCCATTTTGACGGAAACAACATCCGGCTCGGGTCGCGCGGCGACAGCTACTACGAGTACCTCATCAAGGTGTGGATGCAGCGGGGGGGTGCGGAGTCAGGTAAGCGTGACCCCCTATGAAAGAATTTTTGGCGGGGCCTCTGGCATGAGGACGACGTTTGAGCTGAAAACGTGTGCAATTGATGTCGGGTTCCTCCTTTTCGGCTAGTCGATGGATCTTGTGCGCGATTTACATAGCGGGAAAGCATGTCGATGCTTAGCGAGAAGGTACTGGAAGAGAGAGTGAGTCCAACGCCCCAATCCAACCCCTCCGACCTATGCGGATGACCCGAGGTAACAAAGTTGGGTACTATTCTTATCCCATCTGTTTTGTTGATGTCAAGCACTCAACGTGGGCAAGTCTTCCGGCGTGATTCAGGTCACCTTACTACTCGCTTTTCGCCGACGAGCTTCCAATAGTACAAGTCAGTCAAAAGATACTATCATCCACTTTTTGCAGGAAAGGGCTCCCATGTTCTATTACCAAGTCACAAGTGAAATTAACGCTCACTCTCCGCAGGTGAGAGCTCCGACGTGCGGTGGCTGCGTGAGATGTGGGACGAGTCGATGGCCGGCGTCAAGGGCCGCCTGCTCGGCTCCTCCATTCCGTCCGGGCTGCTGTTCGTGGGCGAGCGGCCGGACGGACTGCGAGCGGAATTGTCGCCCAAAATGGACCATTTGGTGAGGGTTCACGGTTTTGGAATATCTTCCTGTTCCGTCTGCTGGGCTCTTTCTTTCCTTCCGGGCTGCTCTTCGTGGGGAGCGACCGGACGGATTGCGGGCGGAACTGTCTTCCAAGACGGATCATCTGATGAGAGTTCGAACGGACCCGCCTTTTGTCTGCGTTTGGTCAGGGGGTCTCGGAAGTCAAGTGAGGGCCGGACGGACTGCGGGCGGAACTATTGTCCAAGGTTCATCTGGTGCGCGGTAAAGGGGAAGAGCGGCAGCGTTTACTGCAGGCCGTGCTGTTACGCAAGACGCGTAAATTGGTGACTATCCTAGTCAAGGATATTTACGCACTTTATTCTTGACCTAAAGAGCTTCGTGAGCGTCGTCCAACCCCTGAACTTGAGAAGGACGTAAGCGCTACGTTCAGTCAGCTGGCCGCTTTTCTTGAGTACCAACTACAGGGATCCGCGGTTTCAGGTACTTGTCTTGCTGGGCACTCGCCGTGGCCGGCCGTGTCGTAGAGGTGGCCATGCCTGCCGCTTTTCCGTTTATTGATAACATGCTAATCGGAGAGACGAGTGCTTCTTTGTTGTTATTTTCGAATCTGAGTCTTGGCGAACGCCCTCGCTTCCAACGTAGGCCTACCAGGTGCTGCTTGAAGAGGTGACGTCAGCGGCCGACTACTCTGCGCAATATCTTGACATGTGAAATCGACAAGGAGGAAAGACGGATTGACATGTAAAGTCGACAAGGAGGAAAGACGGAAAGACAGAGCAAGAGGAAGGAGAGTGATGATTCCCTGCCTTCCAGTCTGTTATTTCGGGAGTGCCGTTGCTTTGGGCGTACCGTTGAAGCGGTTCCGGCGGCCGACTTTGCCGCACACAGAATAGACAGCTTCGAAATCGTAAAGTCAACGAGGAAAGTAGACGAAACGAAGGAGCACGGAGAAATGGACATAGAACGCAACACTTCGAATCCTTGAAATATTTCCCTTTGTTTCAGGTGTGTTTTCTGGCGGGTGCGCTTGCGTTGGGCGCCACGAAAGGCCGCACTGTCGAGGAGGCGATGTCAGCAGGCGACTTTTCTGACGTGGACAAGGAAGACCTGCGGGTTGCGCAGGAGCTTACCCGCACGTGCTACGCGATGTATGAAGTCACTATCACGGGGCTGGCGCCTGAGATTGCGTACTTCAACATAGGGGGGTGAGTATACAATTTGTTTGCGTTTTGTGGGGTTGACACGTGGATGTAATGTTTGGTTGGACCCAGGAAGGGTGAGGTGAAGAGAGAGCGGACGGTCAGAGGCTCACTGATAGCGCGTTGGCTGACAAGGGGTGGTACCGCAGGAACCTAGCTGCATCTAGCAGAGGCAGATGCTGGTTGAACGCGACAGCCTTTGACCGGATTACATGGACCAGGCGAAAAGACGAAAGGATCAAGGAGTGCGAGCTTGTAGCTGTCTTTGCAGGAGCTGCTCCTTGAAAAAGTTGCCGTCTATGTGTCTGAGAGTCCCAGCTGTGAGGTCACGGCGATAACCTGTGGGTGTTCTGGCGGTGGACCAACGGCGAACCATCTTTCACGTGCAAGTTGTCAAGATCCTCCGTTTTCATTTAGCCAGAGGTTTCCCAGAGATCTCAATCACTTGTGGAGAAGTGAAGGGGCTGACAGTTCGTGCTGGGGACAAACCGGGAATGTTGAGGGTGCATATGGCCAGGATGTCTTCTTGTCCAGCTTTCGCCTCCGCTGCAGCAGCTTTCAACGGTTCGATGGCTCTTTCCCCCGCTCGACGACTTCTGCCACCGGATCCGGTTTGTTTGGTTGGACAGGATTGAGCGATCTGCTTTTTAGTTGCTGTCATCTGCTTGCCTCACGAGATCAACGGAGCCCAGATACGTGCAGGTTGCATGGAAAGTCCAAGAGTGGAACTCGAGTTCAAACGCGTGACGGAGCCCTCTCTGACGGCTGCTCTATCGTCGGTTTGCTTTGCAGTGGCGTGCACGGCATGCCTCCCGGAAACCCGAAGAGCAAGTACCTAGAAGACATTGTCATACAGCCTTTGGATCGGCACAACTTGCTACGTCCCGAGACAGTCGAGTCGCTGTTCGTCTTGTACCGGATCACGGGCGACGAGCAGTACCGACAATGGGGATGGGACATCTTCAAAAGCCTCGAGGCGCACGCGAAAGTCGCCACGGGGGGCTACTCGTCACTCCATGACGTGACCAAAATCCCTGCCCCCAAGAGGGATAAGATGGAAACCTTCTTTTTGGGAGAGACTTTGAAGTACTTGTACCTGCTGTTGTCCGACTCGGATGTGTTGCCGCTTGATAGATACGTGTTTAATACCGAGGCGCATCCGTTGCCGGTTTGGGAGGCTGATGTAGAGAAGTTGAGCCGGCAAATAGATTCGAAGCACGAACCCAAGACCGAAAGGTGACCGCACAGGAGAAGGTTTTCATTGCACGCATCCTTGTTAATCAGGTGACCGGACAGTCGTTGTTTAAAAGACTGCCGTACAATGGCTGGCAGTGTGGACGGGAGAGCATGTTATAACAAAGCATGGTAGCTGTTCTCAAGAGCTTAAGGCGTGCGGCTGGTCACTCAAGCTGGATACAGAAACGGAGTCCAAATCCAGTATGCGTTAGTGTTCGTGGCGGCCACGACGGTTGCGATGGTCCGATCATAGCCGGCATGCATCTGTTTCCGGCGCGCATCGAACCAATTGGCATGCAGATCTAGCTTGTTGCTCCGATCGCGGCAAACCCGGAAATGATCGAGCTTTTATTAGCCTAGTGCGACTTGCAAACGATTGAAGTTCGTCACGTTTGTACCATGATTCGATGCATGCAATCTGCTGTACTAGGCGCGCCTCAATTGCAATGTTGCAATTTGTGCCGCGCGCTCTTGCCCTGGCCGATCGCGTACATTCCCCCACAAGCTACCTATGGTGGGTACCGGCCGAGTCGATTCCGACTCCGGCCGCCACAAAATCGATTTAGCGCGTATCGAATATCGTCAGTGTTACCGGCGGTTCGCGTCACGGCTACTCAGGTTTATGTTACTCGGGCGGTACAAATACTCAGAAAAATTTTGCCGGGCCGTAAGTAAGTGTGAGGAGATTCTTAGACAGTGTCAGGTTTTACACTTTGAGAGGAGCATCAAATTGGCACGCAAAGAAGAGCCATATGCAGCTTATAAAAACCTCTGACAAGCAGAAAAAAATGTTGGGAGAGCGTCATGAAGGCTCCTTCGAAGCTCCAACATCTTGTTATGTTGAGGACAAATCGGAAGAAGCACCATCGTGGCTGCAAAGTTGGCCGCCATTGCTTGCTTCTAAAAAGCGCCATTCCCTACACTCCCGTTTCCATCTTCTGCACTCTCCTTTCAAGTTAGGTACCGCGGTACTCTAGGGTGGTTCGAGTCGGAACTTCCGATCGAAACCATGATTTTCAAATTTCACGTACGGTCAGACTTGATCGGTACCGTACCGCCGGAAACTCCGGAAGTTTCTGACGATCGGAATGTCAGACAGATTCTAATTCATGAACTCGGACCGGATTCTCAAGTACCGGTCTGCACGATCGTCAGTACCGCGTACAGTAATTGTCGCGACGCGACACACCGGTGATGCAAATTTGTGACCGGACCGTCGCGCGATCGAGACCGCCGATACCCACCATAGGTTGCTTGTGCCATGTGCTCAGCACGAATTACTATCGATGCACTGAAAATGCAGAGATCTATACAACCGCGCTGGCATCGAGCCATGCATCGCACAGCCTGGTCCGATCGGCCTCCCTGCACTAGCTCTGCACAATCGTTCATGCGGAGATTGACAATCCGGACCGTACGAATTGCAGGATTTGATCATTTGCGTCCGAAATAGTCGATCGAGGTGGGATTACATGGGATATGTCTGAGGCATGCGCTTAAATCCCCATGCATGGGTTCTCGAAACTACAGCTAGAGGCAAGGTGCACCGCATGCAGGCCGGGCCATATGGTGCAGCGCAAGTAAGTGCGGCTCAACCGCGTCCTGGAGGGCCCTCCGACAACATATGAATTGAGGGCGACGAGCAGTCATACCTCATGCATGCATGAGGACGATGATATAACCAAAACATTATAGTTCATTTATCCTGGAATATCTTGCATGTAATAAAGTGGGGTCCCCAATCCGTCGAATTTTGACCAAGTTCCAGCCTGCAAAGTTTTTGTCGACACTTGCTCTAGCTAGACACACGGAGAGGGCTGCCAATGCAGCCAAGATTTGGTTCATACAGTCGGCGCCTACGTAAAACTGAGGTTGCTCGCTCGATTAAGGAAGACGTCAAACTCGTAGTCGACGCTATGTTTGAATAGGGGGTGGGCTATCAGACCCTTTTTCGCAAGCTCGACGCTGCCCGTCTCGTCGAACCGTTCGTGGAACTCGACAAGAAGGACGTCCGCTTTTTCTATCCAAGTCAGGTCGTTGTCAGGGGATGGTTTGAAAACCGTCGCTTCCGATCCTGCCAGAACACCTCAATCATTCGCACTTCCAGATCCGACGCCATTTTCATCTGAAAATTGTCGATCCTCATCTCTGGATTTTAGCACGTGAAAGAACAGCGAGTAACATGTAGGAGTGAAGGGAGTAAAGAAGCACCTAATCTGCGACGCGACGTACGTCAATGTTACATGGAGATGACGCCTCTTCAGCGTGACGCTTTTCTCTATACTTGCCTAGACATACCCACATGTGCACTGCAGCAACAGTAGGATACATCGTCACACGCAAACAAGACAGAGACGGAGGAGCGGACAGAATGGAGCAATCAAGTAGAAAGGTAGGAAGCAAAAAGAAAGTACCGAAGCCATCCTCTCATCATAAGGAAGTAAGCTGGAGCAGGGCGACAATCTCGACAAGATTGACTGTGTCAAGGGCCATTGAAATTGCGTAAAACTCACGAGGAAGGAAAGGTAATAAAAAAGGAGGTGCGAAGTACCATCCGTACCCTCGATGTCCATCTTGACAAAGTCAAATCCTTCCGTCACCCCAAAAAGGTCCACTACAGAGGGGACGGACAGTCCGGTCATTGCGTCCTTTAGGAGCTCCAGGGGCGTCGCAACAGTCGGCTCAGTCACCTGCAAAATAAAGCGCGGCTTGTCAACCATTCACCTCTCAGTCGCCCGCGCAATGACACGTGGCATGTGAATCTTTGCCGGCTCAAACCATCTAGCAATGACACGTGGCACGTGAATGTTCGCCACCTGCGCGATGACACGTGGCACATTGGATGTATGTTCTGGACACCGTCGCTCGTTTGGGTTAGCACTTGCAACTTGCTATGGGTCCCCAATCTCAGGCGGTGTCTGATCTTAGAGCCGTCCGCCCACGGGTTTGAGCGAGCTCCAACTCTCAAATACAAGGAAGCGTTTCTTTCTCGAAGAAGCGGCCGGTGAGACTATTCACTAGAAAGGTTTAGCTACTCCATGCTAGTTCCTAATCGACGTGGAGGCGTTCCTCGAATTTTGAGGGTTCAGATCTTTGTTCTTATATTGATTAAGCAGCAACTTATTAGCTGTGTTGCGATTTCGGAGCTTTCGGAGCTTTGGGAGCAGGCCCAGTTGTATCCATCCTAACGCAGTATATTGCACAAAAATTTCTGCGGGGCAGCCAATTCCGAAGCGCCTGCGCACCTCCGCTTTCGCGGATGAAAAGCAAACAAACCAGCGACACAGATAAAGAAAGTAGCGGAAGAGAAAAGACACAAGAAAACGATTTTGAACGAGACAATACCGGCGACAAAGAGAAGGGACAGAGAAGCAGCGGAAGAAAAAGGGGATTAGTTACGAAGCATATTGTACGAGAAAGAGAAAAGGGGAAAAACTACTTGTTTTGATTTGTTAAAACATATTATAATTTTAAGAGCGAAACAGAGAGCGAATCAGAACGAAAAGAAAATCTGCGACAAAGAGAGTTGAGGAAGGAAGTGGCAGAGCAAAAAGGAACAAAAATGCGATACTGAAAAAAGGAACTGAAACACGAGATATCCAGAAGAAGAAGAGATGCGTCAGAAGAGTCGCTTCACTCACGACGAAGCCCCAGTCCCGACGGTCATTCGGCTCAATCACCAGCTGCGCGTGCTTGGACCACAGTCCGGCGTGCACGGGAGTCACGTTGGGGAGCGACGGCACGTTTTTGGTAAGGACCTTGTAATTCTCCGAGTTGGGCTCCAGCGTGACAATACGAGCGGAGGGCCACCTGGGGGCGGAGCATCCAATTGCATTAATAGATGGATACTTCTCTGGATAAAAGATCAGAATGTACATAGTTATTATGGATTTTGATAATCGCGACCGAGTTGGGCTCCAGCGTAATGACGCGAGCGGAGGGCTACCTGAGGGCGGACCAAAATAGGAAGCAACGGACGTATGTATTGCTCTGACGAAAAACTCGCAACGTACAAAGTTCTTGCTGAAATCACACTTCTCGTGAGGGCACCTTTTTTGTGAGGACCCGGTAATTCTCCGACTTGACTCCAGCGTAATGATGCGAGCGGAGCGGAGGCCACCTGAGGGGCGGAGCAAATAATATGAAGCGATGAACGTCTAAATCGTTTTGACATATAATGTACACAGTATCTGAAGAAGATCAACGTTTGCAAATGGACGGTTCCGTTTAAGGATTCGGTGTTATTCGAGTTGGGCTCCAGCGTGATGGGCTCGCGAATGACTGAGTCAAAATTTGATGCTCAAATTGAAACGACAGAGTTGCGGGACGGACAAAGTTAAGTTAAGGGGATTGAATAAGAACGGGGACTCCAGTCGCCAATCTCAACCGGATCTCTCCCCGACCTCAACCCAGTCTTTACATGCACACAACTAAAAGATGGCTACTGACCTCATGTCAAAAGGGCGCGCGATTGGGACCGCCCACAGAGTCGTTCTACTTTGGTGACTGCTTTCTGATAAGTACAAAGAACGAGGGACACAAAAGCCGAAAACAACCGAGGGCGATCGTTTGCAAGGGAATGGGAACCGAACCGATAGGAAACGGAAAACGAGAACGGAAGACAACTGACATGATTCCAAGGACGAGCGACGCTATTCCGATGTTGCCCCCAGCGTCAAGGATGTTCTTTGGCTTCAGGTCCAAGGGCGCGATGAACCCGTACTCGTTGAAGTCTATCACCTGGTAGTGGGGTTTCGGGTTCAGAGTTTTGGATCTGAGGATCTGCGGAAAACTTAAAAAATTGCCGTGATCGGATCCGAGGTGAGCTTGAAGCAGAGCTATTATTTCAGTGGTTGTACAAAACTCTAGCTGATGAAGAATGGGTTTGCCGTCGACCGACCGGGAAGGGAGGCTTCGAGAGGAGAGGATCAGCCGACAGATTCAGTCAGATCGCCGAAGAACGTGAGAGAAGGCTTCCGGGGGTGTTAGCGGAGGCGTCTCGGACCCAAGCAAAAGGAACCAGTCAATATCAGCAAGTGGAGAGGCATGCAAAGAAAATTCTTGCGGCGTCAACTCGTGAAAGCAGGAAGATTACTTGCATTGCAGTGCGGTCGAAGTATCTCATGATTATGGCTTAGGTTCGGACATCACGCTTGTCACGAATCCAGATCTGCATCCTATAGCGAATTTCAGGTGTCGCTTGCAAACTGTGCCGTTACGGCATTACGGCATCTCTTCTGCAAACCCAATAAAAGTTGCATATTGTATCCAAAGCGAAAGCCGTAGAAAAGATACGTAAGAAACCTAATACACTTACTGAAGTCTCCAAACCACACCAGAATCACACCCAAACCCCAAAACCATAACTGAGCCACGACAGCCATGTCACCCATTTCCAAGGACACGTGCACATAGAAAAAGAAATCTTTTTCCAAGGCAACCAACATCAAACCACGCCCTGAACAACGTCAAACAATGACTTAACCCGATTCCGATCCCCAAAACCTTACCTGCGCCACGACAGCCATGTCTGTCGTTCTCGGGTGCGCCTGCAGCTGGAAGAAGACTCACCCTCCAAGTCGTCCAATCATGCCTTAACCAATGTCAAACCAGGTCTTCAACCCACATCCAAACCAGCCATGTCCGTCGTTCCGGGGCGCGCGTGCAGCTGGAAGAAGCCCTCCCCCCTCAAGTTGACCAACGCCAGACCATGCCTTAACCTACACCCAAACCCCAAATTCTTACCTGCGCCACGACAGCCATGTCCGTCGTTCCCGGTCGTGCGTGCAGCTGAAAGAAGCACTCCCCCTCCAAGCACGGCATGACCCCGTTTGCCGCGACAACGACGCACACGGTTTCCTTCCCAACGACGTAATACTGTCCGTCCACTTCAGCCCATGCGTCTGTTACGTTTCTCCACTGCCCGCTCACAAAGTACCGGTTAGTTCGGGCAACGTCGGTTTTGTTGGGGTGCCCATCGCCGTGCGGTCTTGCGAGATACTCCGCCAACTCGGGTTTGGGATAACCGCACAGGGTTCCATCTACTGGGTTCGCTAACCGGGGCGTGTTTGCGTCTCTCAAAGTCCCTAAAAGGGAGTTATCTGCTCCTGCCGGGTTTGCTGATTGAGGCTTGGTTAAAGCACCCCTGCCCAATTGAGATGCGTTCGCAAACCGCTCAAACTCGCTCCGAAGGATTTTCCTAATCAGCTGCTCCAACGAGCCAACTACCCTCGCATTCCCGTCGTCAGCGAGGCTCTCAAGACTGGCTGTCAAAACCCCCGTCGCATTGGCCAAGGCCTCTTTGAGCTGATCTAGTGTGATGGATTCCGGCCAGTCCCCCGAAATCGTTACTTGCCTCGAGAAAAGTTCCGTATTGGACCCCCAGTTGAGAAGCCAAGGGGTGGAGAAAAGGGCGCACAGCAGAACCACGAGAAGGAGCTGCCTGAGAATGCCGCCGCCACTAGTTGCGATCCTGGGTGCCATCTTTTGACCCAGAGACTTTGTGAACGACTTGCTAGCGAACATCCCTTCGGCTCTTCGCTTTTTGGCTGTTCCCCGGAGAACGACCAAAGAGGGAACTCTTCAGAGGTATCGACGATTTGACGGCCTGAAATTGACAGTCATTTCGAATCGCCTGTCAAATCCAAAAAGCCTCTGCTAGCTGAGGGTTAGCCGCTGATTAGCAGCCCGTTAGTCTCTCATGGAAAGAAACAGATAGCACCTCTGTGCGCGAGCCGGATTTGAAGGGCCACGGCCTATACTGCAGTTTGCTTGAGATGCTCTCCCCAGACAAGCCTACAGAACAATGCTGACTAAACGCTCACGCTTTTTCCCTGAAGAAAGACACTCTCATGCAGATCTGAGGTAGATAGCAGGTTAGAAGCTGCTTCCTCCTGCTTGAGGACACGGAAAAAACCAGGCCGATATTGGGCAAGCGGTCGCGACCTTCAGTTGACTCAAAAACCGATTGCAGTCAATCTGATGCCGTTTCTGCAATCAAAACCAGTCTCACTCGAGCCGAATCAGAAATGTCTCACTCAAATGCAATTCTTGAAGGTGACTTGAGGGCGCAATGCTGAGAGGAAGCGGTTCACAGTCAACCAGCGTCGTAGATCTTTCTCAGCTCTGATCGAGAAGAATGAAGCTGCACAAATTCATCAAGCTTGCACTAGGTTGGGATGCCGGGTGCTCTCGTCACTCTGTGCAAGCCTTACATTAAGGTCTACACTCCAGGTAGACTGATGCTATCTTTCGCTGAATGACGTCACTCCGACAACCTTCGCTTACAATGATGGCAATCGCATGCGGACTCGCCACTGAGCATACAACGTTGTGCGGGCGGCCTCGGCCAGCCAGGGGCAAGTCGACGCGAATCGGACCAATTATTCGGTCTTTCAATGGCTTGACAACATTGCTTCAATCTCGGAAGCTGTAACATTACTCCTTCCGTCGTTCAGGGGCTTCAAGTCAATATTCGAGGGAGTCTGCATTTTGCAACATCGGAAAAGAACTGCCGAAACACGGTTTCATAAGAAGCGATGATTGGCCTTTAGAGAGCAAACAACGATCGAACAGAGAGGCCAATGCAGGATCGAAAAGTCAACTTTTGTAAACAATTGAAGTTTGGATCCGAGCCCTTGGTGAAACAGCTCCTTTGAGACACCGGAGATACCTAGCCCCTACTATAGCTTTTCGACAACTCGCAACTTAGCGCTTCGACTTCGCGAGTTTTTTCGCGCTTCTTCCTCCGATGGTACGAAGGGCTTCCTCGTAAGAATCTTAACAAGCGGCTTGGGCGTTTCCTTTTCGAGGAAGATATTCGACGTGCTGTAGGCTACTTCGTCCTCTTCTTCGACATAGGGCCGCCCGGCTGCGGCCAAGAAGGCTCGCTTCACGATGCGATCCTGCAATCGAGAAACACGATTGCGTAGTTGGGAAAAGTTTCGTGTAAACCACGGATTGGGTGGATGGAAACCGTGAAAGCTTCGCAGCTTCAGACGCGCCCGCGGAGCAAGTAGACCACCCCTATGTTGTAGGACTTTGATGTAAGCTGGAACGCAAGCCAGATGGAAAGCGACGAAAATGAGCAGTTTGTAGCAAGCTTGGAAAGTGTATTGAACCTTGTACGCGGGCTGGGTCGAAACTTGACCTTGAACATTGGAGACCCAGAACTCCGTGCCTACGGTGTCAAGTCCCGAACGAGAGCCGCAATACTGCGCTCCAGATCAGAGGATCGGACTGCTAATTGAACGAACGGACTCCGATAAAGGCCTTCGGCCTCTCCGCTTTTTCGTCTCGCGTTTCCTGGCGTCCCGTGAAAGCTCGAACTGCCTTCGCACAAACCCAGGTTTTGGATTCACAAGGGTCCACCATTGGGTCTTGAACCAAGATCGGCAGAACGTATCCATGCAGATGACGAGCCTGGTGACGCCTCGGCGGCATCGGTGGCTGCTTGAGTCGGTATTACCGTCCTGCTTCGGACGCCTCATGCCAAATATTTCCTCATATCCAAACCTCTGGATTTTAGATCCTAGGAACCTCTTTCATCAAAGACTTCTCAGGGTAATGTCAAGCTTTTTGCCCAGTTTTGTCGAGTTAAAGAGAGACGCGGCTAAGGAACAGCGTCCAGCTCTGAAACCTGAGTTTCCAGACCTTGAAAGATTTCCGTCGCAGGGACTAACGCGACTTCCTAAGCGGTAAAGACGTTAAGTCGGTGACCGACGCCAGTCAAGAGGAACAACAGCTCCCATGAGCTGGTTGATCTTACATCAGTAGAGGCAAATTGAAGCTCTTCTTTCAAGGATCAATATTCCATTTGATGAGGCAGACGTCATTCGAAAGCAGAAAACGACGCGTACCTCTAGACTGTGGAAGGAGATAACGGCCAGGCGGCCGCCCGGCGCGAGGCACTCGATGGCCCGGGGGATCCCCCTTTCTAAAACCCCGAGCTCGTCGTTGACGGCGATCCGCAGCGCCTGGAAGGTGCGCGTGGCCGGGTGAATGCCCCGGGGGGCGCCGCCTTTTCCTGCGGAAGAATTGGTATCCTGGTCAGGCGGAGGCGAGGAGGGAGTTCTGGATTGACGAGTGGTAGGAGGTGGCGAAGACTTTGTAAAGTTGAGCACAACGGTGGCGATATTTTGCGGAAGAGTTGCAATCTGATAAGGCGGACAACAGAGCAAGTAAAAGACCATTCTGTCAAGAGACGGTTGGCAGAATATAGCGGAACCTTACAATCATGGGCTTTTGCTCTGGGAGATTCTGTACAATAGTGGAGAAAGAAGGAACCAAAAACAATCTGTGAATCTCACGAAAGGCAGAGAGTGACCGTGCAGAGAGTGACCGTGTCCGCTTAAAACGGATGGAAAGATCACAAGGACTCCCGGCGGATCCTCAAGAGCCCCCTTGGCTTTAACCCAAGGGGATCAGCGATTGACGTTGACACAAGAAGAGCTGTTTCGAACCCTCGCCTCTGAAGAAAAACAACCGCGAACCTTAGAGCTGACTGGGACTCCGCAATTGCCAATCCGTTCTGTCAAACGAAGAAAAGGCCGGCCAACTGTGGTCTAATACAGGACCGGCAGGATGCAACAAGAGTAAAGAATGAAGCACAGGAAGGGAGGCTCATCGAGCAGCCAAACATGATCACCCAGCAAAGTAGGAAAACTTGTGGCAGCCTAGCCTTTGCAGAGTCAGGGATGATACCGACCACAGCAACCGGGCAAACCGACTGAAGGTCGTAACAGCTCGCGTAGCTCGGTACAAGAGCCCCGACCACAATATTGGAGCCGATAAGCGGCCCGCTGTGTCAATTCACCCTTCGCTTTCGACCGGACCCCCTGACCACAAGTCATGAGAAAGAGAGAACTTTCTGCCAGCTGACGTCTGCTCGACAGAGGGACCCCGATCAGAAGACCGAGCGCAAAAGCGGCCCACAGTAAGATTTCGTTACTTCTCTTTCGACCGGCCCTCCGACCACGACAACCGATGAGAAGAAAGCAGTTTTTGCGAGCTTACGTCTGCCCGGTCGAGGCCCCCCGACCAAGTCCACCAGCTCCCCTGTCGTCCGGATGCGCGACACCGTTCGCGCCTCCGCAATCCGCCTTGCGATCGACTTCCAGTAACGCTCCTCTCCGTAATCTCGGATGATCTTTCCGAGGCGGTCTTCGGACCAGTCGTTCACGATCTGCTCAGCAGTCACCGCTGCCTGAAGCGAATGAAGAAAATCCGCTTTCAATGAGAGGTTGGAAAGGGCTGGTTTGAAGTTTTCGTGCACTCTTATCCGGTCATGTCAGATGTCCTTCAGTTGTTGCACCTGATGACGTCAGCGAGGCGTGGGATGAATTGGCGGGCACATGAGGGGGTGCTCACATTGCAATGTGAGCACCTCGTCTCTAAGTCTTGGCGATATCGCAGATTGTTTTACTATCCGCAAATGGTGGCTCAAAGTGGGGTCGAAGAACATGAGTAACGGAGACAAAGCCGTTGCCAAGAGAGAATCCAATGTGGCACACAACAGAGGAATTTCTCTGAGTGAGAAGCTAGGGTGTTGAATCTCACACGAGAAACTGCTGGATGAGAGCAGAATCTTAAACTGCAAAAAGCCCGGACGATGCCCGTATCTCCAATATCCGGGAACTTCGAAGTGCGGAACTTTACAGACTTCGGCAGAGAGACGATCCACAAATCGAAGAAAAGTACTGATTTAGCCTACAAGCCTCTCTAACGTTGTTCAGGACGTGTTTGAGTCCCTCCATGCGAACATCGCCTCACTGCCCTCGTTCCTTTTGGAAGACTTACAGCAGAATTCGATCCGATTGTGGCTAGTCTGAACTGGTTCGGATAAGTTGCAAACAACGGCAGTTACGGTGGCGGTTGAATGGTGATGCTCTGGTGGAGAGCTTACGCTGGGATTCATCCTCATGTCCAGTGGCCCGTCTCGCATGAAGCTGAATCCTCGGTCAGCTTCGTCGACCTGAGGTGGCAAGCAGATGCAGGATTTCAAACAAGCCATCGCTTAGAACGGTTTTGCAGAACAGTTCCGAGCATGGACCTTTGAATTTCTTAAAGGCTTCAGGCAAACGTTCCTACCTGTAGCAATCAATGCCTGAAACAGGGGGTAAATTCAAAATCTGAACCTTGTGAAGAGGAACCCAAGATGCACTTATCCTGAGTAAGGATCGCACTGAACTGTTTTAAAAAAGAGCTGAAGTGCGATGACTGCTGAATGTAGCTGATTTGCACCATACTAAGCTGTTGACAAGCGGCATACAGAAGATGCCAGGCTCAGCATATGAGTACTTTAGAAACACTCTCACAATCCAAAGTGGTCAGTGAAGTTCAAGACTAGATCACCTGCAGAAGCAGGTGACGAAGACATCCTCAATAGCATACCTGCATTGACGACACCCCAAGGTCCAGAAGCATCCCATCAACCCCATCTTCTGCAACACCCCCTTCTAGACTCCTCAGCACAGCATGCACATTCTCAAAGTTGGACTTCACAAGGTGCAAACTCAATGACTGGCTGTCCTGGAGTCCCCCCGATACGAGTGTGTCTATTTTTCGTCTGGCCTCAGCATGCGCTCTAGGATCCACATCCAGCCCAATGAAAGTCTGCAGCTCAGGATGTGCTGCAAGGATTGCGCAGGCGTGACCTGCAGCTCCTAAAGTCCCATCTACAAAGACTCCCAGCTTCCTTCCAGTGAAATGCTCGACCACCTCATTGAGAAGGACAGGTATGTGAGGCTCCTCAGGTGCAGGGCTCTGGCTGCTAGGTCTGGCTGTGCTGGCGTCTGAATGTACAGCAGCGGCCGGCTCGCTTGTCAACTGGCCAGCATGTATTTTGCCAACTGGATGTGCTGCGCTCAGCGTGCTTCCTAGCTGGGGATATCTGCCGTTCAAACAACTGCTCCCGATTGGTGACCACAATTTCCTTTGGAGGAGTGACGCAGCGTGTCCAGCTGCATTCGACTGTGACAGAAGAGGGGGCTTGCCTCCAGCAACAAACCCCAGCTGCAAACCTATGATATTTTGCTGGTTATAACAGCATTGCAGCGAATGATGAGAGGTTTTCAGAAGGATCCTTGCTGGAGCTGCAGCGCTTCTTACACCGAGGCAAGACGCCATTCAAATTACTAAAAGCTCAGGAGCTCATCTGGCTTAGGGATTGCGTTTCTTTACTCTACCTCTTCGTGATGCAAATGTCTGGTCGACTTCAGGCTTCAGCCCCTGTCTTGCAAGATTAGGCAGCCAACAAGGTTCAACCCAGAAAGCGCCAAGCGCACATCTGAAGCCCCTAGTAGGTAGCCCAGGCAACTTTAAGTTCAATACGCTGGCAAGGTGGGCACTTGCAACTCCAATGTCTCGCCCAACCAACTGTTACCGCGAGCGAATTGAAGGCACAAGACTGCGAAGGCGGCAGCACAACCGGCAACTCGTCCAATCCTGCTGCAGTCGTACGACAAAGAGCCGGCCGCTCCCGTGCCCGCCCCGTTACCAAGGGGAACGATCGGGGCCACAGGAGAACAATTTGAATTCTGCAGGCCGGGAAATCTTCTGGGGCCAAGATCTGTATCGGACGGATGGCATGCAATCTGCAACAGGTTGGACGGTTCGATGGGCCGGAGGTTGATCTTTGACAACAGCTTGGTCAAAGATACGAACTCTAGATATCGACTCCTAGGTAATTTCCGAGTACAGATCAACAGACTTCATCTCAAGACTCAAGAGGAATGTTCATTCCGAATCTGAAAAGCCTGAGCAATGAGACATTGAGGTGCACGCAGACGAGACGCAGACCTGCGCAGACTTGGACTAGGGAGCGCTCGGACTAGGACTACCTGCTTACCTTTCTGAGCCTTGGCAAGAGAAGTTGCTTCTGCAATTGCTCGCAGGATAGGTACTTGGAGCAACTGCTATTGGCCCTGGAAGACCTCTCACGTTCACTTCTAAAGCGGTATTTAACGAGTCATTTGGAAGCAGATTAGAACTGGCTGGTTAGTCGTTTTGGGGCAGCAGGCTTTCAACTTACTTGGGACAGAGCATCCATCGCTGCAAATGGAACAGAACAGTCAAAGCTGGAGGAAGTTTGCAGGGGAGTAGAAATAGATGAGAAAGCAATCTACTTGGCACACTATTTGCGCAACTGAGGTGAGCTCTGTCTGGGCAAGTGACCAATGTCGATTGATTTAATGAGCAATGTGTCCTGTGCCAAGCAAGCATGCGCTGTCATCTGGGACTTTGATCTTGGTGGGCAAGGGATGCTTCTCAGATCACCCATTTATTAGCCAGGGCTGCTGCAGAGCTTGTGCTTGACTACTGCATTTCACAAACTTTTGGCCTTTGTCTACTCATGCAGGTGGAGACTTTCGTCTGAGCACAAAAGTCATGGAATCTGTCAATCGATCTGGAGGAAGCAGCAATGGGCTACTCTGCCCTATTCGAACAGGACCTACCAGTGAAAATAGAGATGAGATCAGGTAACCAACTTGAAGTCCTCTGCAGCCAGCCTGCTCTATATTGCACTTGGCGAACTCTTAGCCCAGCTGGATCTGCTCTGGCACTCTGGTCCCTTTCCATGGCAGATTGTCAAGGCATTTGGAGAAACTCCATGTCAACATTTCACATCAAATAGAGGAGACTGGTATTTGGCCAGCTTTTTGAGAAGATCTTCTTGTGCAGAGGAATAATGGTTCTACTCTATTTTGTCTTCTATTTCACAGGGGTTATAAGCTGGGAAAGCAGAAGTTCAGCTACAATGCAATCACGCTACTGTTGCAAGACACCTGCGGCCCCAAGATAATTGCATCCGCTGTTGAGGCACCCATAGGGAATGAAGTGGTAGCTGAGCTCAAGCAAAGGTATTCTCCATAATGCTGCACAAGGTCATGGCCTTATGATGCTGATAGATTGCTTAAAAACTTCTCTCCGTAGTTTTCTTTTCAATATCCACACCTCAGCTGCTCCAAAGATGCAACTGCTTTATTCTGGTTCTGAGATGCTTGGTTTTCTGGTGCTTGCAAATGCAAACCTTTCGTAGCTATCTGGAGAATCATTAGAAAGCGCATCATTACTGCCATGCAGTTGCCTCAAGTACAATCTCCATCTGGCCAGCGGCGACGAGCTGTGTGCATACCTCTTTTTGGTAAGCTTAGTGATCATACTTCCATAAAAGTTACATTCAGATCTTTCGTTTGGGACTTGAGGAATATCTTCCCACTCAAGAGCTTGTATCTGTTCAAGCTCCTCTTCCAGTACATTATTATTCACGAGTTCAATCACGTCCTGAGTCTGGCATAACCATCTCAGCCTAAGAAAGAAAATAGAAAAACAGTTTAAGTGTTTAGAACAGGGAAAAAATCTTAGAATTCCTTCTGTCGCAGGTATTTGCAAAGAATGTAGCAACAGATGAGCCGCAGCAATATGCATGGCAGGTTGTCACCAGAGAGAACTGTCTCCGTGGTTGCGAAGGGCCAATGCTAATGGTGCGCATACCTGACCTTCTTTGCAAATGTTTTGCTACCAAGCGTCCTTTTTGGACGATCTGCGCAAGCCAAGCACTTGAACTGCCGGTAGGATGGCTGCACAGGTGATCTACATAGGCAGTTTAAAGTTATACATCTTGTCTGAACAATATTTCTGGTGATAAAGTGACACTGGGGCAGTCCTGAGTCGTTGTTGTGCGGGAGCAACCATAAGAATGCACCCAGTTTTCCCAGTGGATTCTTTCGACTGAACAGCGACGCTTGTTTGCAGGGCATTCGTCGTTATGGAAGAACGACCAGAGGCATTTTGGAAGAAAGACATGACAGAGCCAAAGATCCCAGCAAACTGTACGTTGCAATTGACGAGGTGAAGCACAAGTTGCGACTGGTGCTGATGCGCTGCTTGGAGCTTGATTTTGATCAAGCTTAGAGCAGAGAAGGTCAATATTGTCTAGGCAGTTACTTTGAGATCAGAATTTGCATCATGATGCCTTTGGAGTTGCTCCTGTCAAGGAGCATGACGCATTTCCAAGTAACGAAAATTCCTTCAAAACGGAGCTTGACGAAATATCTATTGCTGCAGGCATGTGCACACTTGGATCATAAGTCGCCAAGGTTTCGTCTCGTCCTGGGCTTGTACTCTGAGAAGCAGGAAGTGGCAACAGCTGTATCAGGAGTGATCCGCATTGTCGCCAACAATGATGCACCGCGAGGATCAGCATCTTTCGACCTTGTGTGCAACATGCATGGTAAGTCCGCACACAGTCTTTGTATCTTTCAGATGGCAAGGTGATTGAGATGCAGTTGTTTATGGATAACAGCCCTCTTGCATACAAGCTGATCTGCAGGTAGTAAGAGAACTGACAAGTTGGGCACTGATGACAGCTTTCTGATTTGATCACAGGCTCAGAAGCTGCTCCGGCTATCAACCAGCCCGGAGAACCGAGGCCTCCGCTGCAGGAAATTGTGACGAACGTCGTGACAAGTGCCAACAGGCTTGGATCGAAACCGAAGCTGAAGGAACGTCTTGGTCAATGCAAGGTAGGCACTGCAGGCTGGTCTTCCCTCTTTACACGTCCTTCCCAAGGCCAGAGCGAATATGCTCTTGACACAGTGCGACATAGCAAGAGGGGTCTCTAAATGTAAATCTCCTGTGAGCTCCTATCAGCACGTCGGTTTTCCTTTGAGAAGTTCTGCTCGAGGACGGACACTTACATCGCCCCGCAGATGCATGCACTGTTCTTCGCTTCCAGGAAAGCCGGCAGAAGCTCCCCAAAGTGTAACGCTGCTAGCTATTTACTACAGGAGAAAGCTGCAATCGACGCAGTACAGAAAGACCCTCCTGCCAGCGAGGTAGAGGAGCAGCTCGACTTGAGCGGCGACGCAGAAGATCCTCGTCAACAAAGGACATTGACGTCTCTTGTTGAAAGGTCCGCTCCTTGCCTCATCAAAGGCGCACCTCACTCGTCCATTATGAGGACAGCGTTTCCAGGTCAAGTCTGTAGGTTCTGGCGATCAGCTCCCAAGCCGTCCGACCGCACTGCGTAGGGCGTGTTTCGAAGGGCTTGAGTTACAAACCCCGCTAGCAATAATCGTATGTAGAACCGCAATTGATTCATGCACGGAGCGAGAAGTAGAGGCTCATATTTTGCTGTTCTCTGGAGCGCAGGCTGCTGGAGCTCTTCGGCAACAAAGTCGGCTCTGTCCTCTCCCTGGGCTGCCTAGCGGAGGATCTCGGTAAGGCTACTGTCTGAAGGCTATGCTTCCTTGGCGACCTCGCCAAATGGTGCAATTTTCCAGGTTGAGCGAAGCTCTCAAAAATACCCTGTTCCGAATAGAGTCCCCCTAGACAAAGGCTCATCGAGCTCCCCACGTTTCCTGGCAACTTGCTGTATGCGCGAATAGTTGCGGGATCACAATTTGCTCGCTTTGTTGCAACGGCCTTTCCTCGCCTGTCCTATTTGCCCTCTTCAAGCACAACGCGATTTTGGCCTGGGGCCTTTTTGAATGTGTCAAGCTCTTCGTTCTGCAGGAGTCAAAAAGCGGCGCATCTATGACGTTATGAACGTGCTGGAGAGCATCCAGGTCGTGGAACGCAAAGCTCAAGACTTGTACATCTGGAAGGGGGCCAGCTCGATTAAAGACGCTCTAGACGCTCTTGCGGTGAGTGTTGCTCCTCAAGTGCAGGTGTGCCCGCTGTTTCTGCCAGCTGCATGATATTTCTGAAGGCGATGAAGCGCTGACGTACGTCGCATCGAAATCTGCAAACCGTGTACGCCTTTGGATCATGCTTGTCAGAGTTGGTCGGCCGTGGTCTCAAAAGACCTGCTGTGCGAAAGAAGACGTCAAATTAAGGTCTGAGAATCTTAGCCACCGAGTTGTAATAAGTAACGTTCTTCACAGTTCGAAGCGGAAATGAGAACGATAGACGCCGACGGCGAGACTCCGCACTCAAGCAACGAAGAAGCCTCAGCGACGGAGGCGCCACGCAGAGGTGAGGGACAGCTTTTAAAGACGCTATATTCATCAAGGTTCCCCACTTTGCCTTGACTAGTTTTTTATCAAGAGCTTTATTGCCCCATATCTTCATGAAGGTATTGCTTGGAAGTTCCAAAAAGAAGGGCAGTTGACAAATCTCAAATTCTGCAGATACGCGGCTCTTTAAGTCGCTGAAGGTTCTGAGCGAGGAGTTCGTGCGAGTCTTTCTTGCGGATCAGGTGAGTCGGCCTCTGCTTCGTAGCCTTGAAGTCTTGGATCTTCCGGTCCTATGCTCCTCAGCACCTTTCGCGAAGTACCGCCGCTTGGAAGGAGATTGCGCCTGTGTTACAGTCTACAGTATAGCCTTATCAAGCTACTGCATTCATTCAGGTGAAAGTCTTGATGTTGTTTCTTGCCGGTAAGGAATGATGGAAGCGAGTTTCGCCTCTGTAAATGCAGGGGCAGGTCATTCTCCTCAACAAGGCGGTTTCCGCCGTTTTGGGAGGCTTAAACGACGGTGTTCAATGTGAGTTATGCGGCAACCGCGCTTAGCTCCTCACAGAGTGCCTCTGAGACGTTCAACAAGAATGTTGCGCCGAAAGAAATTGACCAGGATACTTTTGGCATCAAAAGTTTATCTTCTGATGCAAATCCAAAAGTTGCACACACCTCCATCGTCAAACCCTGACTATCTTTTCATCTTATCAGCGATCCGACGACGGCTGTATGACGTGGCAAACATCCTCTCTTGCCTGCACCTGGTCGTCAAGTTCCAAGCCTCGCAGGGACCTGCGTACCTGTGGCTGGGTATCCCAGGCTTGCAAGAGCGGCTAGGGGAGTTTCCAGGTTTGTGCACCTTACTTTCTCGCGAGCCTCATCCTTTGCACTTCTGGTTTGCGTCCTGCGGCTACCCCGGGCAAGGTATGGAGGGGCGAGTGATTGCTGAAACCAGAAAAGCTGCCCGTGCATGCTGGTTCTTCTGCGGTCCATCAAAGGGACACATCAACGGTGCCTGCAGTCTGCAGATCGTCCAGTCTACAGGATGGTTTAACGGGCTGATGTTAAATTCATAGAGACAATCGGATCGGCAACCAAAGTCGTGAATAGGAGCGCCCTCTTACAAGGCTTTCTGAATGATCTTTATAGACATTGGCAGCTGGTTTCAGGCATTGTTCTCAATCATCATCCTCTTTGGCAGGTGTTTCTACAACCACTCGCACGGTTCAGTACCGAAAGCGGAAAAGCGACGACTCCCTCTCTACGCCCCGTCAAAGCTCCCAGCCAACGGCCTCCCCAAATGAGCCCCCCCCGAAGCGACGCTCCGTCGAGCTGCCACGTGGCAGCCGTCCC